ACAGGAAAAATGCCTGCTGTGTGGATGGGACCAGGTTTTTAAAAGACTGGAGAAAAGCAGGGAAAATCCAGGGAGCTGTATGAACGAACATACCACACGCTATGAGGAAGCTTAGCAACACACCCACCCACCCCCGATTCCCAACATCACTGAGCCCGGGGCAAATAACCTATGGGAAACAGTGCTTTTGCCTCCATCTGCAAGTTTTAAGTAATTAAAAGATGTTCTTATCTGTGTGAAATTAGAAAATGAGGGTTTGCTAAAAAAATTATTTAACAAAGTAAAATTATTTCAGTAGTTGAGTTTGGGAATGGAAACCATAGAAACGGTTTCAATTTAAATCTGAGTATAGAGGTGCTTTGGTTTTGATGTTGCCTGTATTGTCAGTTTCATTATCCAGGTCTCAAGAAAGGGAAGATCAGAAGGCATGTGCCACATGTTTGGGAAACTAGTCCTAGGAGAAAACACATAAATGTAGTTGGACTCGCATGTTCGAGCTGTGTGCCATAAGAAGTAAAGCAAAGCTTCTGTTAGCATGCCTTTCTCAAAGTTGCCCCGTTCATATGGGAGCTGTTTCCATGTGGTAGTCCCATGCGGCAGAGGCACACAAGCCAACAATGCAATCAGCTGGGTGGGGCCCAGTACTGCATGGGGGAAAGTGCACTGTGTACAACCCACAATGAGAAGGGCCACCTTCAGGCTGGAAAGACCCATGCCATTGGACCTGCCCATGTAGTCGTTCGTCTCTTAATTTGTATAGCATGGGGATTGCACCAAATGGGAACAGCTCCCATGTTGCTAACTGTGTAATGTGAAAACATCCTCTTTTTCTAGCTTCTTGTAGCTTTTTGAAAAATTCCGTGTGATTTAGATATTCTCTTTCAAGCTCAAATGTAAGCTCAAGGTTTCCCCCCAATTGAAAATTGCAAGTGTATATTTGTGTCCAGTAGCAGGAGAGGGCATTGCATAATTTCATTTCATTGTGTTGTAAAGGTCAGCCATTTTCAACCTTCCTATAGTAAAATTGCAGTTTTTGAAGCATTGGGGTCATTATGGACAGCATCAAATGAATCTGTGGTTTTCTTCCAGTACAAGTGTACATAATGGATAAAAAAATTTTGGGGGGGGGGGCAGGCAGGGGGATCCTTTTTTTCTAGAAAGATTACTTTTAAATTTTAAAAGGCCAATCTTGTACTGGGATTAATCAAATAAGATCTGGGAGCTATATATGAAATATAGTCATATATCTTCCTGATAGGCAGCTTTCCTCATAGAGTTCAGGTGTATAAATCTTGTTTAAAAAGCCTTCCATTCTGCTTTATTAAAGAGGACAGGACAGATACCCACAAAGCATTCCTGTGCTATAAGCCACAACATGTTAGAAGTGATGTCTGGAAAGTGGTAGCAAGTGAGTCAGAATTCTAACTTTATTGGGTTTCTTCCTTTAGTAAAACGTATCATCACAACCCTCAGCATCCACATGCTCAGCTTCCTGTATATTTTCCTTCCTTAATGGTTTTCAAGAGGCAGCTTGACAAGCACCTTATTTGGACTTTTTATTTCAAATACAGGTTATCTTATTTCAACATCTTAAAAGACTGGGCTGGATGATGTGGCATCCTTTCAGACTTTAAAATTATATAAATCCTGCAGCTGCTATGTAATTCATCCATAGATGGTTAAAAATTGCTTTAAATGAGCTTTTCTCATTCTTAGAGCAACTGTGGACCTTGTTTAGGTTTTTTTTTAAAGTCTACAATCAGAGCAAAAGGAGAGAAAATTGCTAATACAGGTTGTTTTCTTTATGCTAGCTTGGCCTAGATATTTCTTTCCACTTATTTCTCAAATTGCAAAGCTTTCTAGTTTTTCTAATGAGCTAGTCTATCGCAGAATGAGAGAGGGGGGGAAACAAACAGCAAAATCATAAGTAAAACTGAGTTCTTTTTATCTGCTGCAAGACAGGAAAACAGCCTTCTCAACAGGCTCTGGTTTTTGACACTCAAGGTGTGATCAGAGATTACTTATCAACTGCAGGAGAACGGGGAATGAGTTCATTAAAATTTTGCTTTCTCTCACAGAAGAAAATGTCTCTCCCTTTGATTTGTAGATCAGCCACACTGTCTGTTTCTCCTTCCTGCCACTGTTTTTTCTTTAAAATTCAAGCTTTTGTCTTTGCATTTGCTCTTCATTTATCCTGAGCTTTGAAAAAATCATACTGCCACTATAGATTCACCTTATATATATGTTTTTGTGAGAAGGTACCATTTTGACATAAGCTCTATAAAATACATTTAAATACTTAGGCTGCTGTAGTGCCTTTTAATTATGATAAAGTTCAGAACGTTACCTGCAGGTAAAAAGGTGACCTTGTCACCACAATGCCAAGCTTTAGGGTTACACTGATTGCATGATGTGCACATTGTTGGATGTTGTGCTGTCCTTGCACTATAGCAATCATTTGCTGCTGGATTGTCTTGGTTTTTAAGATGTGTTTTTATTATGTTTGTTTTTAGTCTGTTAACCGCCTTGGTGGCCATGATGAGGGCAGAAAAGCGTGGCATAAATTTTACAAATAAAATATAAATAGTGAATAAAAAACAATATATGGATGTAGCCAACGTTTACTTCCTCATTAGTATATTTGGCTCTACTGAATACATACATGAAGCTGCTCTGTACTAAATCAAACCATTGCTCTGTCAAGGTCAGTAGTGTCTGTTCAGACTGACAGTGACTGTCCAGGGTCTTGGTGGTGGTCTTTCGCATTACCTACCACCTGATTGCTTTAACTGGAGATGATGAGGTTCGGGGTTCTCCTGCGTGCACCACAGATATTCTACCACTGAGCCACAGCCCCTCCCCAGAATTTTTGCTGTGTTACCAGAAGTGGTGCAGTGAAAGCCTGAAGAGAAAACCAGCTGTGATGGTACAGCAGAGAAATTAGTTGGCTTCTGCAGACGCCAAGGGTTCCAGTGCTTTCCACAGCTGCCAGAACAAATTATTCTCTGGCTTTGACATCTGGTTGCATGCTGTGATGAAAGAGGGTGGTGCTCCCTGGTAACAAGGATGCTCTGGCTCTGGGCCACTGGAAGAACTACGAAGAGGAAAGAAATTCCGTCTGACAGCAAGTTGATACAGGGTCTTGCTGTATGAAGCAGGGTTCCCCTATAAGGTCTTGTCAAGAGATATTCTGTGCTGTAGAGGAAATGGGTCATAGCTGGGTTGATCCTGGTCATTTCTTGGCAAGTCCTTCATCTTCACATAGGTAAAGGTAAAGGTTTCCCTTGCCTGAAAGCCAGTCGAATCCGACTCTAGGCGTGCGGTGCTCATCTCCGTTTCCAAGCTGAAGAGCCAGCACTGTCCAAAGACATTTCTATGGTCACGTGGCCAGCATGACTAGACGCCGAGGCGCACGGAACGCTGTTACCTTCCCACTGAAGCAGTATCTATTTATCTACTTGCAATTTCTTGCTTTTGAACTGCTAGGTTGGCAGGAGCTGGGACCAGAGACGGGAACTCCGTCATGCAGCACTCAGGTCTCGAACTTCTGAACTACCGACCTTCCAGTCGGCAGTTCAGCGTCTTAACCACTTGAGCCACCGCAGCCCTTATCTTCACATGCCTTTCTTTAAATGGTGATTGTGCCAACTCCTGTCTTGTTTCTGGTGTTTTGTGCTTCTGTATTAAAACTCCACAGGAAAATAATTTTTTGGAGTAGTTTCAGGATTGTCTGGTCTTTGGACAACAAGACTTCTTCAATATTTCCTTCTAATTCCAGTGGTATCAGAGGGAGAACAATGACAGACAAAAGGAGTTTCTGGGGAGCAGAAAGTATAAAGAAGGGGTAAATTCTGGAAGGATTTTTGTGTATTGTGATTAATTTAATTTAGAAATGATTCTAGCAATTTAGAATTTATTTAATATTAAATGTAAATTAACAAACAACCAAAACAATTACAGAAGACTAATTGTGTAACTTAAGACAAGCTAGTAATTCACAGTCTCCCATCTGTAAAATTTGAATAGCAGCAACTGACCTCACAATAGTGTTGCTCACTACAATATTGTTGTTCACTACAAGAGACTACAAAGGATTGATGGAAAGGTTAAAAAGTAGCTACAGTAATACTAGTAAATGGGTACCATGTAAAAGAAATAAATATATTTGGAATATAATTCGCAGAAAAGCTTAGTTAGTGCTGTCTGGCAATCTGTCATGACCACCATTTACTCTTCTGTAAGTATCATTTAGTCTTGTAGAGCAAAAGAGAATTGGCAAGCTTGTACCTTACTGAGCCAGATTCTTAAAGGTACCATTTTGGTCTCACCCACATATTGGCTGATGAAGAATAACAAACAAGCCGCACTCATGCCTGTGGCTAACTCAAAGAATAAAATGGCTTGGGTTCGTGTTTCCTTACCATTGCTTCTAGATGCAAATAACATGGGCTCATTACCAACATAATGTTGTTTAACACACCATGAGCTACTTTGGAAATCAGAGGAGCAATTTTTCTCTGGGCTAAACTGGTGTAAACTGAGTTGCAAGCCTCATTTTAACAGAATTACTCAGCGGCTCCTCCTTGTATAGTCAAGAGAAGAATCAGCCCAACGTTAGCATAGCTGGATTTTGTACTGCTTGAATACCCTTTTGTCTGGAAGGAGGTAATTGTTCTCTTTCAGCTAATATTTCGGGAGGCCATTCATCCAGGGGATCTCCCACAAAACAAAATGAATTAGCCCTGTTGATCTGATTCATCAGCTGCCACATGGAAGGTTTTGGAGCCTGGAAAGAAATGTGTTTCTACTGTTTAGACAAAATTATTTAACCCTTCAGCAAGAACTGAAAAATGACCCTTCATTCCTTTTGTTTTACAATATTAATTTCTTTTCCTGTTTTGCTGAAATTGCAGAAACAATCTAACCTATTAATAAACAACGTTTTATAAAATGGTTTCACTTTTCATGTTAACTCTATTGGTTTAATTTCTCTTCCCTAGGGGGCTCGTGTGCAGGCAGATTACATTCCCCTGTTGAACTCTCTTGCCATGTATGGCTGGCAGCTGACTTGTGTGCTTCCCACTCCGGTTGTAAAGACAAACAGGTACTGTGAAGAGATGGCCTTTTTCCCAACTATAAAAGTCAGTCAGAGAGCCATCCTTGCTTATCACATTGGGTTAGGGTTGCTAGGTCCCCTTGCTGCCCCTGCAGGGGGATTTTGGGGGGGGTGTGTTCTGAGGGTGGGTGGGACATTGCACGTGATGTCCCTGATGTGATGGCATCGCCCGAAAGTGATGTCATGATGTTGGTGACATCGCACATGGCATTCTGGTTTTGGGGCAAAACTCTTGAGTTTTTGCCTTCAAAACCATAGAGTTTGCCAAAAACCAGAGCATCACCGTGTGATGTCCCCAGTGTGATGACATCACCTAGAAGTGACATCATTGTGTCAGCGACATTGCACAATGACATCCCTGTTTGGGGGTGTGGTTTCCCCCTCCAGCCAGCTGACTGGTGGCAGATTGAAGCCCCAAAAAGTGGGGGAACCCCTACTGGGACCTGGGAGCTGACAACCCTACATTGGGTTTCTCTTTGTGTCTAGCCTGTAGCAGTAATGTTGAATGGCTTCTATCATTTTTTGGTCTTGTCAGTAAAGTAGAAGGAGACCTGTGGCAGGCTGAAGTTACAAATCTTGCCTCAGATCCTTTACATTACTGATCCTTTAGTCTTCCTGTACTTTTGAAGGTGGTAGACAAAGCAGAGATGTCCTGTTTCTCTTCTCAGATGCCTTCAAGCTACAAAGCAGGCATTTTGTTCTCCTCACAGGAAAACGCCATATAGCTTCCGTATTGTTACCTGCTGCAGAGACCATTTATTTATTTAAAATATTTATTAGCATATAACCTGTCCCACCACCTTTTAAACTAATAATTTGCATTGTGGGATCCCACCTTCGCGGGACTTGGGTGTAGAGAGAAATGTGTAAGAAATGGGATGAGAGGGTCATGACATGCAAAGGCCAGCAGTACATCTAATACATATTTCATCTCTCTGACAAAGCAGTGTGAAGAAGTGTGCTTGCACACGTAAGCTTATACTTTGAATAAACTCCGTTGGTCTTAAAGGTGCCACAGGACTCAAACTTTGTTCTGCTGCTTCAGACCAACACGGCCACCCACCAGAAAGTAGGCTCTAGTTCGTGAAACTTATGCCAGAACAAATTTGTTAAGTTTTTCAGATGCCAGAAGATCTTGCTATGTATTCAATGCACAGATTAATATGGTAATTTCAGATGGGTAGCAGTGTTACTCTGCAGCAGCAAAATAAAACAGGAGTCCAGTGGCATTCTGTAGACTAACAAAATCCGATCTGATCTAATTTATTACAGCAAGAGCCAGTAAAACAGTACAATTCTGATATAAGAAAGATTAAAATAATAGTATAACAACATTAACAAGAGAAAATTAATAAAATTAGTAAAATGAAATAATATTAATAAGAGAATCATACAATTTTTTCAGCTAAAAAAAGTGTATGTTTCCTAATAGCTAAGCAACAAAATTTTGCCACAGCGTAAGTCACTGAGCTCTGAATGTCTTCTGGGAGGAATTTTCGAAGGACTTCTGGCCAGTTTAGTGTAGTGGTTAAGTGTGCGGACTCTGATCTGGGAGAACCGGGTTTGATTCCCCACTCCTCCACTTGCACCTGGCTGGATGACCTTGGGCAAGCCGTAGTTCTGATAAGAGCTGTTTTTGAAAAAGAGTAGTTTCTGTCAAGAGCTCTCTCAGCCCCACCTACCTCACAGGGTGTCTGTTGTGGGGAGGGGAAGGGAAAGGAGTTTGTAAGCCACTCTGAGACTCCTTTGGGTAGTGAAGGGCGGGGTATAAATCCAATCTCTCTCTTCTTCTTCTAAAGTCAAGTTAAGACTGCAGAGGGCTAAAACTTGACAGAAGGGGTAATATAAGATGGTCTCATTCCTCCTGATAGAATCTGCAGAACAGGAGGACATGAGTAACTGATTCCACCATATTAGCCATGCATGGGCATATACGTTCATGCATTGGAACTCGAGTGAATTTACCTTGCAGTACAGCAGAAGGGAGTGCCTCGAAATGGGCTCTGGAACAGGCCCATCTATGAGGCTTATAGGTAATGTTAACTAAATAAGCGGCAGCAGTAAAATTAGGCCAAGATTTTATATTTCTGAAGTTCTTGGGTAACGAAACTTCTTCATTTAGACTAACAAAATGTATTTCAGCATAAGCTCTGAATCTGAGCTCACTTCATCAGATACATCTCTCTGGATTTCTGTTTTAGATTTCCCTCTGGAAATAGCTTAGAAGTTTCTTTTAGTACTGATCTATGAGGGCCCTGAACTATCATGCATTCTAACTGTTGGCCAATACAAATTTGGCAAGCATTAATAACTTGGCTTGTTGAGGCCAAGTGTTTGCCTATAATCAAAATACATGTTGAATCATGGGCCCTACATGGGTCTCTTTCATGACATATAACTGCTACAAATCACCTTGAGCTGGAAAAATATTGTTTTCCCAGTTATCTCTCAGAACCAGTTCAAATGTACAGCAATAGCATGATGTTATGGCCTTTTCTGTATGTTGACATTTTTGTTCCTCAACCTTCTTGCTTCAACCACTTTGGTGTGTAATCTCTTCTGCCAGGAAACCTTCCCACAAGAATATAAGAGGAGTCCTGCTGGATCAGACCAGTGGTCTATCCAGTCCAGCATCCTGTTTCACACAGCAGCTGTTTACTATGGAGGGCAAACAATAGGGCTTAGAGGCCAAGGCCTTCCCATAATGTCACCTCCTAGTACTGTTATTCAGAGGTTTTCTTCCTCTGAACTTGGAGATTCCCTTTAGTTGTCACATCTGGTAGCCTCTGATGGACCTCTGCTCCATGAACTTGTCCAATCCCCTTTGAAAGTCATCTATGCTTGTGGCCATTACTACATCCTCTGGCAGTAAATTCCACATTTCAATCACTCATTGAGAAAAGAAGTATTTCCTATTGTCCATCAACTTCACTGGGTCTCCCCAGTTCTAGTATTTTGGCAGAGGGAGAAAAGGTTCTCTCTGTCCATTCTCTCTGCCCCCCTGCCTAATTTTATATACCATTATCATTTCCACTCTCAGCTGTCTTTTTACTAAACTGAAAAGACAGTCTCTATAGCCTTTCTTCATAGAAAAGGTGCCCCAGCCCCTTAATCACCTTCACTTCCATCTTCTGTCCTTTTTCCAGCACTGCAATGCCCCTTGTGAGATACGGCGACAAAAGCAGCAGACCATATTCCACATGAGGCTGCACAAGGGCTCCTAGGATTGGCTACTTGAACCTTTTATCTCATATTTCTTTAAGATTGATTGGCGGCTTGGCTTCAGCCTGAATATCTTACACACCCAAGTGGAACACTAGCCAGCACTGCAGCTGACCTGTTAATTTTCTGGGCCAATATCCATGACCGTGGAAAAGCATTGCTCTTGTTGGCTTTTCTGGTAATGTTATTAAGAGCTTATATTTCTGTTCTAAAATATTTTGACAGATGAACAGTGTTGATTGGTATCGCTGCCTCAGTTGTATGAGAGTAGGCAGGAGTGCAAAAGAGGTCAGAACGTTTCCACTCGTTCTCAGCTTCCCATGCTTGAATCTGGTGAAGGACACCACACGTTCAGGATCTTCTGAAACTGATTTAAATGAACTATTGCCAAATGTAGCATGCATCTGAAAGTCTAGCGCTGGTGAATGGAACTTTATTCTCAGGACTGTGGTTTCTTGTAGGGATGGGAATTTAGCCACGAAGCAGATTGTCTTTCTTCAGAGACCCTTCCTGCCCCAGAAAATCAAGAAGAAACAATCTAAGGTATATGGCCTTGAATTGCTCTATGTGTTTGTCTTGGCAAAGCTTTCATATTCTAATTGATTTTCCACATCAGTAGGAGCAGCTTGTTTAACATTGCTGTGATTTAGAAGATTTGCTGAACACTTTTGAACTATGTCTTGAGCTGTTTGTCTAAAACAAAACAGTAAAATACACAGAAGAGGAAAGAACTTCTCCCAGTTTCAGCGGAAAGAGGGAGATTCCATGTACTGTATCAGATGCCCTCTCTCCCCAAGTACACCGCCTGTAACACCATGAATTGGCAGTGGAGAGGTCTGGATTCACCTTTAGATTCCATGTGTAACTTTGGGGTAGTTCAATTGTTGTCACTCAGCCTTTGCCTTCCCTAGTTGACCTGCATTGTTCATAAGAGGCTTTGCTATTTGTTGCACTTATCTGCCTGCACAAAGAAATAAAAAATGCATATGTTAATGTAAGATATCGCTATACCAAATCATGTCATGTATTTTGCATGAAGCAACTTTGCTTCCATTTATTAAATGTGCATGGTCTAACTACAGTGTGAAACCCAGGGGTCGTTTCATAGAAAAAGAGCTAGGGGAACTCATTAGCATAACTCATTAGCATATGCCACACCCCCTGACATCACCGGAAGTGTGTCATAAGGCCACACACCCCGCCCCCAACGGCCTTGCAGCTCCACTGCCGAGCCCCATGAGGGGCCCGGCGGTGGACCTGCAAGGCCGGCGGGAGTGCAAGGAAGCCCCGCAAAGGCCCTCCCTGGCCCCAGGCAGGCAGAGGTGGGGAGAGGCAGGGAGGAAGCAACTTACCCTCCCTCTTCTCCTGCCTCCTCCTGGCTGAATGAGGGCCGGAAGCGGGGCGGCCGGAAGCAGGGGGCGGGGCTTCGTCATGTGCCCCGCCCCCGTACCTCACCCAGGGGAACTGCGATCCCCCGCGATCCCCCCCGAAATGACCTCTGGTGAAACCTATTTTTCTGAAAGTGCATACAGCACTGAAGAGCAGATGTTGCAGCATGTCCTATCTGAAGTTCATCTCATTTGTAAACATTCTTGTATTATCAGTGACGGGAAAGGCCAGATGAATTTGAAAAGCTTCTATATGCTTAGCAAACAATTGCAAATATGACTAACTAAGCCGTTATTAACCAACTCAAATCTCATGATCTGGAATGTTTCTGAAACACAGAACAAAAGTCAGGGATTATTTTGGGAACTTCATCATACAATCTGCAAGATGTGCCCACCTGTTAGCTTTGAAATACAGATTCTTTTATTTTCATGCAGTTGTCTGCATAACTGGCAAGAACTCCTTCCATCATCATAATATCTTTCTGGTAAGCTTATGAAGTAGGCTGTGTATCCATTAATAGGCAGATGTGCTGAAAAGGTGTACCATAGAATATCTTCTCCCACTGACCTCTTTCTCCTTCTGTTGCACACACCATAGTTTGAAACTATCAAAATACACTGGATTATATTGCCTCAGGGTTTGAAACTGAAGTTTATAGAAAGGTAGCATGCAAGAAGGGAAAGTTGCATGCTGAATCTGCCAGGTTTTGGGCATGATCCAAAGACCTGTGGACATAAGAACTTCCCATTTTCACCTACAAAGGTGTACATACAAAGGTCCATGTACACACACAGTTTTTAGCGTATTAAACTTTATCTGGCTCGCAGAACATAATGGAAGAATACCAGCACACTGAGCTCTGTGCATGCATTGGAGTTAGTGAATCATGGCTCATACATTTTAAAAACTGAGCAGATCAAAAGGTGCAGTCTTAGGAAGATTACATTTTCTTTGAGAAGCTTAGCTTACAGTGACAGCAGAGCTAATATGCAAGCTAACAGCTTTCTCTAAAAGTCCCCCTCTTTAAAAAAATAGTTCTCATCTTATAGTTGATTAAATTAATATTCAGCAATGAGTTTAAACACCTTTCTACTCATACTTAATATTTCTCTAACATACTCTTTACAACTATACCCATTTGTAGTTTCATTGGAGATTCTCCAGAGAAGAAAGATACCACAAGCAAGCCAAGAAATCTCTGAAGGCAAAACTAAGTGCCAAAGAACAGCAGACAGCAGAAGAAAAGCAAGACTTGGAACTCACAGAAAACACAAGGAATTCAGAATCACGGTTCTCTACCACTGAAGGCACTTTGCAGTTCCCCGTAATCACAGATCAACAGCCGGATGGTGTTGAAGATGGAAGAACTGAAGCTCTTGGGCACATAGATGTGCCCAGCTATGAGAATGTGGGGTCTGAGGAACAATCAGATGCCTGTCACAAAGCTGATCAACACATAGGAGACTTGTGTTTGGATCAGAATGGCAAATATAACTGTGAGGACCTAACATTCCAAGAGCATTGTGGTCTAGATGACACTGATTGGAACTGTTCAGCAGAACCAGCAGAAAGTTGTTTTGATGCTGGCTTTGACAGTCCAGAGAACTGAGGGCAGTTATTTGCCAAAACAACCCAGTTTGGTTATCACTGTTGAATTCACTGAGTTTTTATAAGTACAAAGCATAAATATAGTAGTATTGCATTTGAACTTTGAATTGTATGCAAACATGCAGGCTTTGTTATCCAAGAGAGCCCATCGATATTGAAATTTGTTTTCAGTTGCTTTTTAAACCAAACAAAATTATGTTCTGTATTATGTTTGTATTTTTAAATCATATTATTATTGATGTGTGTGTCATATTTTTATTTAGTTTTGTCTAATGGAATTCAGGATGTAAGAAGAAGCTTTAAAGAAGTAGCTATAGTTGTATTTCTTGTAAACATTTCTATTTGTATTGCCTTTGGAATTACTTATCTCTTGCAAATATTTAAAGCAATAATGACAACAGATGTTTTGCCTGGGAAACCACTACTGGCAGAGGGCAACGACTGTCTATTTGCTGAGGAACTTTCTTCATATACAGTTATCATTTGATCAAGATTATGTTGAAGCTGCCAGTCAACTTGCCACAATATTTGCTGGAGGTCAAAGGGAGACTGTCGTACAAAGTGTGCATAAAGCATAACTGTTTAGTTTGTATATATTTCCTGAACGTTAGACACTGGGATATTTGTCACCAACTCAGATTGCCGGTATGGGAGTTCTTACTGAAAATTTTCTACAAGAAAAATCTTAGTAATAGGTGACTGGAAGCCACTATGGTCCTCTGTGTGTGTGTGTGTGTGTGTGTGTAAAGTCCCGTTAAGTTGCAGCCGACTTATGGTGACCCCTTAGGATTTTCAAGGCGCTTAAGTGGAGGGTGTTTGCCATGGCCTCCCTCTGCAGGGTCTTCCTTGGTGGTCTCCCTTCCAAGTACTGACCCTGCTTAGCTTCCAAGATCTGACGAGGCCGGGCTATCCCATGCTGCCTCCCCTCCCACTTTGGTCCTAAAATATACCAATTAATAAAATAATTCACACACGCATACCCTTTTAGCCAACCAGTACATGATGTACAATAGTTAATTGTTCTTATTTTTAAAGTATATTAATCTTTACAATAAAACTTGTGTAATTTGAATTTGTAAAGCTCTGGAACATCCTTGAATTCTTAATCACTTCTTAACTTCTTCTGTCGTTGCTTCTCTCATGACTAGGCAACCCCACTTAGGTCTGCATTCGGGCAATGTGTAGAATCTGTAAAGTGTTTTGAAAATGCCTTTTGTTCTTACACAAATTGAAACTTGGAGCCTATAAACAATATAGCTTCTTTTCCCTACTGGCTGATGCATGTCTGATAGTTCCCATTAGTTTTTCTGTAAAGTATTTTGACTCAATAAAATGTGGTCTCTAGGTGCACATCATGCATGCTTAAGCTATTTTTTAAACTGTCAGCTTCATCTAAAAGAGACTGCAATTTGCAGAACGTTTTAAAACAAAACTGTACTGCTTCAAATGGTCGCATAAAAGATAATAGAAGGATAGTTTAAATCACTTCATTTCACACAATACACAAAACCATTTAAAATATTTCTGCAGTGCTTGAAGAATGTTTACTTTGGCTTCAGCAACTCAGTTGAATATTAGGAAAATTGCATTGTAAATAGCTTTAATTACTTGTGGAATTCAACAAAGGCAGCTGTCTACCCTCAAGCAACCATGTAAAGTCCACGCCATGATCTTTTATTTAATCATGACTTGAATACAAGTAACAGTGTTAGTTTGTGTTTTAAAATGGTCAGGGCCATATGCAGTAAAAATACAAAGAACACTACAGCCAACTTAAGACATCATCATTAAATGTCAGGAACCTTCCAATTTCTGCAGAATTTGGTCCAATACAGTTGTCACTGAGCCAAGCGGCTGCATACAGAGCTCCTGCCATGCCCAATGCCAGGCTTCTCCTCTAGGTAGTTTCTTCCTTCCCAATAGATGCCATCCACTGTAACATTCATTACTACTTCCCATCCTGCCTGCTATTAATTTAGGCTCGTCTTCCTCCCCTACCAAATCTGAGCCAGGCATCTTACTTCTCCTTTACCTACCTGGGTTCCAACTTCCAAGCAATCCTTATCCTTATATTGTTATAAGTGTCACTTGGCTCCTAAACTTCTGAGGTCCCTCATGCGATTGTCAAAAAGGACACATTGACAAAGGACACATGTCTGAATCCCTTGGTTGTTTGAACTGTTCAGGAGTTACATGTGATCCCCAAGGTTCATTTTGGCCAAATTTACTCTGAATTGTTTTAAATCAGTTTCCCCCAGATGGAACAATTCTGTCAGACTAAAATAATGGTTCAACCGGAAAGATGATTGGCAGTAGCAATCAGTCAGAGATGCACTTGCACTCCTCACCCGGACATCCCAGACATAAACTATGTTGGAAATTTTCTCTGGGAGTCACAGCTGCCTCAATGAGACTTTCAGAAACCTATTTAGTTGCACAATGTAATAGGGCAAAGTCCATTTCACTATTGTAGCTAGGGATTAGGAAAAAAGGAGGAGAGAGAATGCCTTCTGTACACAAATCCATGGCAAAAAAGATGCTTCCAGTAGTTAAGATATATTATTAATGTAGGAAGAATATGCCATAGGAAAATAACAGGAATAACACCTGTATGCATAGAAATGGGTACTGTAGGGTGACCATCTAAAGAGAGTTCTAACCTCAAGGAGGAATAATGGTGAATGCATTGCAAATGACATAGAGGCAACCTTTCCTCATGCAAAAGGATGGTAGCAATATCTCATATAAATTTACTGCTAGTTTGGAAGGATTGTACAGAAGGTACAGACATGATCTTGAATTTATGAACCTGATTAATCAAATAGGCGGCTTTGATGTATTAAAGAACTGAGCAGTAAAAAACAAGCAGAGCGTGGTAAAGATGCAGTTTACTCTCTGTTGTATTACTACCATCGTCTTAATTTATATTTGAGGCATCAGATATAATTTATATTTGATAGCATCAGAATCAGCAACATTTATGTGACGGCTGTCCCTCTTATGTAGGAAGTAGTTGCCTCCGCAAGACTTCTGCAGCCATGTCGTTGCTCCCAGAAGGAATGGGGTGCTGATGGCAATTTCACAATCCTACTGCCCCTGCATGGAGGACCTGTTTGTGTGAATGGACACTACTCTGAGAAGGCTGTGCTTGCAGCAAATTACCTCACAGAACCAATATGAGGCTAAAATGGAAGGGGTACATATATGCCAACTTGAGCTATTCAGAGGAAGGGCAGGGTAAAAATGTGAGAGGTGTGATTCCCATCAGCCTTCTTTCAGGGCTCCACAGTTCGGCCGCATGGCAGATGAGAGCAACAGTTCATACAAATGGTGCTTCTACATGACTCGGCTGCACCACAGTGGAGTCCCTGCCTACGTTTCCCTCCTGGGGCACCAACTGTACAGAGCAAAGATGTCATGATACAGAGCTTGAACCTCAACCAAAGAGAATACTGCAAGATTTAAGCTCTTGATACTGGCATTGTCATGCTTGCAGTGACTAACTTTGGCTTAGATTCAGGTGGGTAGCCATGTTGGCCTTCGTTCACATGGTGGAAACGGTGACTGAAATTAGCCCTTTTTGTTAGCAGAATCTATGTTGGTTGATGAAGTCCACATATTTTACAGACAATCTGTTTGAAACTTGTGTTGAAAGGTGGGTAAGGTGACAAAGCACAGAAACATACCCACATATATAGAGCTGCCTTATACTTAGTCAGAATTGCCCGCTGTGTGGGCTGATCAGCAGTGGCATTTCAGAGGCTCAGGCAAAGATTTGATTAAACTATTAACCTGAGTTTCAATCTTGGAAATCTTAGGTGCTGAGCCAGAGAGCAACAGCTCCCTCTTCATGCTCCCTGATCCTCATTAGAGATCTGACCCACAAATATATGCAGATTTTGCATTCCACACTAAAAAGGACTGTAAGGAACATGAAGAAGCAGTCTTTCAAAAGGTGGAGAAAGAGAGGGATTCACCAGTCCTACCACACTGTTGCCTTTTGAACAAATGCCCCAAGTTGACCATTTCAGAAAGGGAGGATGAAATTTCACCACCAAATATATTTAAAGAGAGCATCTCTCTCACACACACACACACACTCTACACCAGTGGTGGTGAACCTATGGCACGGGTGCCAGAGGTGGCACTCAGAGCCCTCTCTGTGGGCACGTGTGCCATCGCCCCAACCAGGCCCAGACCATCATTAAAGTGTCAAATTTTCTGCCAAATAATTTTACGTAAATGAAAGCATTTGGGATTGTTTTCCTTACTTTGTTTGGATCATCTTAAGTTAATGTATGAGTTGTTTTTTTCTAAAGTAAAATCTCAGTATTCAGGTTAAATTGCCGTGTTGGCACTTTGCGATAAATAAGTGGGTTTGGGGTCGCAGTTTGGGCACTCAGTCTCTAAAAGGTTCGCCATCACTGCTCTACACCATCACCTTCTGCCCTTTAATACTAACCTACCAGACCATATTTTCAAATGTAAAGAAGCTTAAGGTACAGCAGGTGCTCCTGGGGGGGGAAAATCCATATGCAACAAATACAATTTCTGTCTATTTCTCCCACTATTGTTTACAAGCAAGATGAACATACTGAAGTTGTTTTTGAACTGCCCTCCTATTTTCCTTTTATGTTAATGAAACTTTGTTTTAGAAAGCCACACTTCCAGCAAACACAGGGTGACCGTCACCTTCTCTAAGCAGTTCTGCTGCGACTCGCACAGGTTTCTCCTGTAAGATAAATGAGCAGTCACAATACTAGTCCGCATGAATCATCTTGTATCCTCTTCAATTATGGAGGCTGCATATCAAAGGAATTATAAATTACTAAGTTGTTATATTTTAAAAAATGCTGCTGTATCACTATTAGACCATTATGGTGCAAGAGAAGTCCCAGAAGAATCACAAGTAAAGCGTCCATGTAAAATAACTGGTTAGCAAGGAGGTGATTGTCACGCCATCTTTGAAGTGTTTGTGTTAGTAAAGACAGGTTCTGTTTGCTATACTGTATGGTAAAAGCTTCATTAACCTACACCTGGCTAACCGGTTAACCCAGGGGTTCACTTGCGTCTGCCTGGCACTGCTACCTTCTACCAGGGTGGTGGCAGGTAAGATACTTGGGTGCCTGCCAGCCAAGTCAACTGAGCGGGCACTACAGAAATGCTCCCCCAGCATTCCAGCCAAGTGACTCAAGTGAGACGCCACTCAAGACGTGGCAGTGAGAGGGCAACAGTGCCAAGCAGGTGGTGGAGAAGCAGGCTAAAGGTCCTCCCAGGCATGGCTACAGCCCACTTGATGCTGCTGCCTGCTCATCATTAGGCAAAAGCTTTGTTAATCAACATACTTGATTAACCAGCAACCCCGTTCCCCATGGAAGCTAGATCACAAAGCCTTTTCTGTACTTGAAATTCACCAGGTACGGTAGTCTTGCTGTAACAAGGCTTGCAAGAGGATGGCCACCTTGCTGAAATGTCTAGGTGTGTGTGACAGCCTGCAGTTAGAGAGGCATGTCCTTGTAGTAATCAGCCAGTATAAGGCAATGACAGAAGAACAGAGAAAATGTGATGGGTGGGGAAGGAGGCAGACAGACAAGCTAGCAGGAAGTGACTGAGACCCTGGCACGGTTAGTATTTTGCGAGGAAGCAGGGCCAGATAAAACACTGATTCATGCTTATGCTATTGCGTCTCTAGAAGTACCATCCATCATATTCTACCTCCTCTTCAATTGCATACCTATGATTTTTAAAGGAAAGGATTTTATTTTAAATGCCTGCTACAGAACACTGGTTTATAGTCCCACTTTAGGCCTGACACAGCTACTGTCATAGATAATCTCCCTTTTCAGGAAGATTAATTCCCGGCGGCTCAGAGAATTTAAAAAGATCAGAATTGGCATTTCAAAGGAAAAGGCGCCCTCAGTATTTATACAAGCTGACAACAGCTCCACTCCCTGGGTGCTCTGAACCAGCCCAGCCTCCCCCCCCCCCGCCCGTGAGGGTAATGACATGGCACATCTGAAATCAAGGGGAATTAATGCTCCCCTAATAAATTCTCCTTGCACATCTCAGGAGCAGAAAACATACACTGCTACGCAAGTCTGCCAGCGACTAAGGGGAGTTAAACATGAGCTGAGAAAGATTAAGAAGTTGGGTGCCCGCGAGGATTCATGGGAAAGGAGAGAGGGGGAAAGATGAGGACATTTTAGGGGATCAAACACACGCATGAGAGTTCTGTCTTTTGTTTCTTAACTGACTCTTAGCTGCCTAACAATGAACATGCTCACTGCACATCTGAAGTTGCAGGGAAGGGAAGCTTACTCCAGCTGTAAAAGCATTTTTCATATATACCTGGGGAATATCTGAGCATTCTCCCTTGGGCAAGGGTGCCTCTGTTTCACTGCCTCCATGAGAAACACTTGATTCTGAAGCACGTTGATCCAGCAGCAACACCTTGCTCAAGCAACAAAATTCCGTTAGCTGTACAGAATGCCTTGTGCTGTTCTTTCTAACTCCAGATGAGAAGTACGGTGTGACCAGAGGCATGCCGCTTGGTATTAGGCACTATGACCACCTTGAATTTGACAGCCAGTGTGGGGTCGTGCAAGACTAGGATCTGGGAGATCTGCCTTCAGATCCTCATCCTGACATGAACTGGGTGAGCTCGGGCCAGTTGCGTTCTTACCTAACCTGCAGGGTTATTATGAGGATAAAATGGAGAAGGAAGAACCATGAAAACTACCCAGAGGTCCTTGGAGGAATGGCAAGCTCAAAAGATGCACTTAGTTGATGACAGACTGGTTTTTAAAACTCAAAAGTCTGATAAAATGTTAATGCTTGAGTTATGACACACCAAATTTAGCCATCTGATAATTGTTTGATTAGGAATCTATTAATAAGTCTGTGGGGCATGAACCTGGAGTGACTAGAACACCTACACTGGAGTCTTTGTTTTTCTATTCCCACTGGCATTTCCATAGGAATTTGGCCCAATGCAGTATTGCCACTCTGCCAGTTACCTGCTACGTTATCAGGCCAATTGAAGGATTTTTACAGAACATGACCCTTCTCCTTGAATAATAAATGTTCTGTCTGCAACAGCTACATCCTTACAAATGTGTAGACTTATTTGGGGGCAAAAGGGAGCAGGCACATGTACCAATTCCTCTTGCGTGAAAGAGATGCTGTACAAAACGTCTCCAGCAGATGTCTCAACTGAGTTTGCTCCTTTCCTGAAGTCAGTATCTATATATCAAGGTGAACCAACCTGTATAAACTGCTTTCACTGGTCAGGGTGTCTCGGCATTGCCTTCAGTCCAACTATTTTATCTGCTCCAGTCAACCATCGCCATCGGCAGGGGAAGGCAGGCTTGCTCTTGTTCCCCACCACACACAGGGAAGCACTCAGGGAACACAGCTTCCAATCTGATGCAAAGGCAATCCCATTAGCTGCCTTGTGCTATGCAGCCGCCTGTGTCTGAGCAGAGGCCAGGTCCGGGGGCGGGGGATCAGTAACATTTTATCACCAGATATATTTTTAAAAGTTAGTTGAAGCAGTGAACTGCTGTGAATAGATTTATCTCCCTATTAAAAGCGTTCCCGTCTTCCTTTCCAACAAAACTTCAACAAGTAGACACGGCACCAGGCCAGAGTTGCCGTCACTTCTTTGGTCACTTACCACTTGGTCACTCGGGCTGTTTGCTCTGGCTTTGATGCAGGGTTTTTTCCCCCATGCTTGCGCACAGTATTGTGGTGCTTCTATACACCTCCAGGGTTCTTCCTATCTTTTTTGCAATCCTTCCCAAAAGGGCTTTGCTGCGATGTTTTCGGAAAGGGTTGGCACATACACGGACGGGAAAGCCTGGATCTTACTGGTCCTGTCCAGAACGGCACCATTTCCCCAACCGGTCCCCCCTGCAACAGCCGTTTCCCTAGCTGCCACCTCCAAATCCGCAATTCAGTTATTATGATGCTATAATGACCAGTCTATACCATTATCTGAATTCCCAGCTTTTGGTTGAAAAGTAAATCTTGAGGGCCTTTCATTGTGGAGAGAAGCATTTCCCCTTCTATCTCCACAACGAAAGGCACTAGAAACTATATATATGATGATAGGTCAGTTGCCATTTAAAAAACAGCAGGTGGCAGGTGGGAAAAAGGCTGCCATTGGGAAGGGCTGAGGCAGAGAAAAAGTGGGACACCTCCCATGTGGAAGCCCCACTGCTTCTGTGCTGTTTTGGCACTCACAGCAGCAATGAGGAAACCACACCAGCCTATCCCTGGTGGAAAACACCTTTGTCTAAAAGCAGAGTAACAAAGCAGCACATAGACAAGACAGTGATGCATAGGATGAAGAAACAGGAAAGTCAACAGGACAATTAGGCTTACATTTAAACATTTTACCAAACCATAGAACTAGTTTATTTAGCACCTTTTGGTAGCCTCAAGACATTTTATATAATTAGCTCCTAATTACCATGGCTATGCAGTGACACAACCACCTTTAAATTAGCTGCCTCCCTACTGACTTATATACAGCAGACGGCATAAATTAGCCAAACAAAGCACATTCATGGAAAGTCGAGGGTGCTTACCCAACGATTACCTGCCTGGGAGAAGGAGACAGATACTCAGCCTTGAACACCATACTCAGAGCAGCAAGTCTCGCTGAAATTAATGGGATTTTGCCTCAAGTAAAGCATTGGGGACTGGTGTTTAGTTTTACTTTGACTCACACATTTAGTGTCGTGTTCTAAACACTTGTCAGATGAACAGGAAGGTTATCCTGACTGACTCCAAGGTAGGCACCACTGAAGGGTTCAACAGCTATAATTCTGATAATTTCCTTGCATTGTCAGCTCAAGCGTATCTTGAGCTTTGCTTGCCATTTCACTGCCGCAGTTCCTAACTGATAAAGAGACAAAGCCATCACAGCACAGAGCTTGTGTACTTGGCAGTGGGAGATGCTGTGGCGAAAGGCACGACATCCTGTCCCCTTCCCGACTCTCCTTTAGACCTGAGTCGATGTCGCATTCTCACCTAGTCCTGCATGCAGCGGTAAACGTCTCATACATCATTTCTAAAAAGTCAATGGTGCTTAAGGAAATATATTATTTTATTTCCAGAGCTGCATCTGAGACAGCCACATATACAAATTTGTCATGATTATAAAATCTACTGAGCACATTTAGTATAATGAACAGAAGTTCATACAGGAAGTTCTCATTTGTATAAACTGATCACAGTCTGCACACTGTAGGTATTCCTCTCCCTTGCCACACAGTCACTTCATCACCTTCCATTTTTATTTTGTGCTGAACAGCTGTTGCTACCACCACTTTTCAAAGAAAATGTTCTTTTGAGCCACACCAAGATTTTCCAGCAGCTTGGAGATGGATTCTATCATTGGCGGTGGACCACAGATGTACCAGAGCGTCTTCTCGGAAATATATTTTTCTAGATCTTTTCCAGATATTCTTCCTTCTAATAAAAGGAATTAAGAGATAAAGAGTTAAGAAAAATACACAAGTAATTGTAAAAAAAAAGTGGGTGGGTAAGTGAGAAGATGACTAATGTTTCAGCAGCCAGGTCTCTTTCAGCTGTTTGGATAGATTGCAAGGATTTTACTGTTGTCCTTATTAGATTCAGATTTGTTGTTTTAGCCAAAGGCTAGTCTATTATTAACTGAACTATGGTAAATGTCTTTGTTCTGCAGTATCCCAGAAACAGATCAAAACTATCTGTGGCATAACAGAAGGTGAAACAAGATCACATCTACCCTTTGGGCTAGTTAATTACTGCCAAAGTAAATAAATAAGACTGTCTTGAAGCACAGTGAGAATTCGAAGTACCAGTGAACGAAAATCATAGTGGCAACCGGAGCAGCTGTCCGCTATATTTGAAAGATGATACTCTTCCCATGGATGATGCTTCAGAATCACTAAAGTCTTCTTTTCTGGTTAATACTGAAGCAGTTTGAAACTTAAATTATGAGTATGGAAAATCTGGCCAAACACTCAATTTCAGTATGCCCCCTCAACACAGAAGTTACAATTCACAACACAATGATTGTTTTTTAAACACATCAGTGGTACATACCCTTGATGTAAGGCTGAAGGTTCTCACAGATTTCTGAACTCTGTTGGGTAACATGGAAACTGCACGTGATCTTTCCAGGAAATGCATTTGTTAAGGCAAGGATATGTTTCTGAAATGTGAAAGATACTTTGGTCATGCTGTAGCTCAATAAATCAAAACAGATGCAATCTGCAGAAATCCAACACCACAGATCTGAAGATCTGCATTAGAATACTCTATTCTGAGCAATGCTCCCTCTAAGCTGTGGAGTCCTGTGAGCAGAAATCCTACTTTGTGAGCTACTGGCATTAAAGTTATGAAGGAGCAATTTGGCTACTACATAAATTGGTTTGCTCTGGAGCCCTCCTTCCTGAGCTAAGACAAAAATGTGTGAGCCGGAGGCTAAAAAACTGTGAGCTAGCTCACACTAACTCAGCTTAGAGGGAACACTGATTCAGAGTATCCCATTTAGAAAGATATGCAAATTTTTCATTTTTACAGTTTTACAAGATTTCTTTTGCTGCAATCCAAGCATGCTTTCAGTCAGAGATAATATTTCTTGCACATGTTGGCATTACTGTCTGCATCCCCCCCAACCTCTCCAAACCCCACTGCCCCTCCTAGTCGAGTCAAGCTTTCGAGCAACAGGTCAGAGGGCCAACTGGAGAGCAGTAGTGCCAGAGGGCAAAGTCCTAATGGAGAGGTGGCTGGCTTCACCGGGAAGTGGCAGAATCACAAAATATTCAACTCTTGCCAAGAGAGGAGACGGGCTGCTACCTCCGCAAGCACCAGCCCTGGTCCTCATACTCTCCCCCTCTCCTAGTCTGACACAGCAGCGTACCATTGCCTGCCTTCTGTTCAAGATGGTTGTTCTCATGGCCCAAGGGTCACAGAGCTCTCCTCAACCATGGATGCCAACCAAATGAGTGAGATAATGCTTGTTTCATTTGGCTTACCCTAAACAGCAGCTCATCTGTGTTCTTGGCACTGTACAATAGGTTAGTCATCCCTATTTGGTATCCGGTTCCTCCCTTTTCTTGTTTTCTATGGAGGTCTGTGACATGGAGCAGTATGGAAAACAAAGGGTTAATTCCTACTCCACCTGCTATGAGCACGAGGTCTACAGGGGTATCAGTAGGATCAGGGTCAAAGAAGAAGTTGCCTCCCACTCGCAAAGCCACTTCGGAATTGAGAGCACACTAAAGGGAAGAAAGGGTTGAGAAAAGGATGGTTAGTTGGACAGCAAATCAGGCTGGGCAGTACACGCAAGAGCTCCCAATAGCGAAGAGAAAGCACTGGCAGGTTGAAGAAACACATGGTCAGTGGCAGCAACATTCGCTTAGGGAGAAAACGTTTCAGTGGTCTAATATGCGCATTCCTCAAAGCTAAGAATGTTCTCTGGCAGACTGCTCTGAGAGATAAGATGATGGAACAGTCACATTATTGCATAAACTCATAATAAGCAAGCTGGCTATTCGGAAGAACTCCCATGAGATTTTAAGATCCCCAGAAGCTTCTTTGATATAGTTATTATACTTTCTATTTTTGAAAAACAAACTTTTTAAAAAATTACAATCCCTGGAATCAAACTTTTTAGACATAAAGTTCCTAGGAAAACAAGGAGTAATGAGAAGAAATGATGCCATTCTAATGGACTGCTCTACTTAAAAAACTGCATTCATGCAGACCTATGCGTATCTTACGGGCACACGATAACCAGTGGTGTTACCAGCTGTAGAGACCTAGGCATGCTTCTAGGGTCAAGCATTCACTCCTTCAGTGGAAACCAAATAATGAAATAATGATTTCCTCAGGTCAACTTGCGCTTCCTGTTTAAAGTAGTTTGCCCATGCAAATAACCTCTATACAGCATGTTCTAGCTGAACAGTCTTCTTAAAAATATATATTCAAAAATTCAAAAACTGCTCAACTATACACCCCCCCCCCAAAAAAAAACACCCCACAAAACATGACAGATATATCTCTGAGACCAGGTACAAGTATGACAACTTTCCTCAAAAAAATTAAAGACTATTTGATTACTGGGTCACTTAAATAGGAGAAAATCAAGAGCAAAATAAATTCTGGCCTATTTTACCAGTCTGATGAGAACATGCATTGTATATGACTACTATAACTAATGTCTTTAGTAATAGATCTGAAAGGTTTAATAGTAAATGATAATACTAACTGTTGTGTGAAACCTTATAAAAATGTCATCTGTTATGTAATAAATAAGACTGATAAGATAACATAAAAATGAAAATATAAGTTTTTAAGTTAATAGATCATATATATTTTAAGCTATACTCTTATGCCATTATACCATATATATCTTGTTAAACAAATGTTAAGCTATTATATCATATACTTTGTTATATATATATACATAAACATTCTGAAGAAGGAAGGTCCTTAATTTTGGTAAAATTGCCCTCATAATACTTTTTTGGTAATTATATTTTTGATCTGTTTTTCCTTATCCCTTCTTTTTTTTCTGTATCCCTTATAATACAGAAAAACTTTTTTTAAAGGAGAACGCGCATTGTACAGTGGTTACAAAGTTCGACTAGAATCTAGCGTTGGGTCTGAGAGACCCAGATGTGAATCCCCCACTCGGCCATGGAAGCCTGCTGAGTGGCCCTGGGCCCGTCACCCACACTCAGCCTAACCTGCTCTACAGGGTTGTTGTGAGGAGAAAATGAAAGAGGAGAATGTCGTAAGCCACTTCTGAGTCCCTCCTGGAGAGACAAGTGGGGTGTAAACAGAGTAAATTAAAAAATATATAAATAAAGGAAATCTTGTTCAAAATCTAAAAGGCTTTCCCCTGGAATCTTGTACATTCAAAGGTTGCTAGAGAACCACGGAGATATAATACATTGCACCTTTATTCAGAAAGTTAATAACTAATCTATATTATTAGTGTGGGGGGGAAATAACTATCCATACAGCCTCTTCTACATCTATCATTTAAAAAAAATATTTAAATACAATTTTGAAGAATCATACAGTATTACGTTTGTATGCACACTAAAAGTTGCTTGAACCAGCCAGTATTTGCCTTTGCTGCCATTTTATGTATCACCGATGCTCAGTCACTCAGCAGCTACCCGTGGCTCTTTGCCATGCTATCTGTGGTGCTTCTGGGTATTGTTCCTCAGTGTGGCACCAGGAAAGCAAGCCAGGCCATGGCCTGGTAGGGTTTGTGGCTGGCAGTGGTTCTCACCTTGAAACAGCCACTAAAGGGGCTGGAGGATAGGGAAGGCTGCAGGCCTCATATCCTCGCCAAAAACAAAAACAAAACCCACCCTTCTCCACAGCCTCTGCATCCTCATCCCAGCACCTGGGTGGCAGCTGAGAGTAGAGCAACTGCAAGCTGGCCATGGGCAGAGTAAAACCACCACCACGGCAGCCACCCAGGAAAAGAGCAGGATGCCCACAATGGGGTGGTGGTGGTGCTGGTTTTGCTCCGGTTTCTCCAATACTGTGCCATGGAAGTCTCACTGTCCCCCTTGAGATGCTGTGCCTCACGCTGAGCAGAGAAGCGGGAAGGACTTCCCCTCACTCCAGACACACAAGGGCTGGCTTAAGTTTCAAAAGCAGCGGGAAGAGAGAACCCCGCATACTCAGATGGACACAGCTAATTAAAATGATATTGTTATATATTTACTATTGAGAGTTACTTATATATTTTTATGGGTATTTTTGGGGCACAGGGCGTACAGCAGTCACTTGCCTCTTTTGGTTGATGGTAATTGTGAATGTGGCTCTCCATGAGCCGTGAAATGAATGCCACTGTTACATATGATGGCGAAACTTAATAGATTCCTAACACTTAAGACAGAAACCCGAAAGTCAGGCAAACTGTCTGAGCTATTAGTTGAGATGTAAATGTAGCTTAATTCTCACAACTGTCACGCTCTCTCAAATGTCATCCAAGTATCTCACTTTGTGGATTGTGTCACAGTTGTCTTCCAGTATCTACTACCCTTGTGGTTACTAAGAAATTAAGAATAGCTCTTTTTAAAAGATCCAATACACATCCCAGTCCCCATTTTGTTAAGGTTCCTTTCGGTCTTCAATGTATAGACTGCCAAGGTATCAGATTTGCAAAGATGAGAATTATCATTTTGAAGATACATTCAGACAGGGTGAAAACCTAAACATGGACATAATTGTTATCGGTTAATCATAATCAGCAGTGATCCAGGCCAATACAGCAGTTTCTGTTGTGCTCTCATTAATCCAAACATAGCAACACACTTTTTCTAGGATGGGCTACTGCTTGCAACTGCTTCCAGTGCCGCAACACTGTGAACGTAATTAAAAAAATTAAAGCAGAAAAGCCCATTAAGGAAGGAAGGAAGGAACCCTCCAAGGAGATGCCTCTGAGGCAGATAATTATGAGGTTAGGCTTTACAAGGTCCCTAATGGGCAACAGGGAATCAATAGGACATCTCCACAAGTAATCATATTAGCATGTGTGGTCCATACTTTTCCAGAAAGTCTTTCAAAATGAGTTATTTTATTGAAATTCCAATGATGCATGAAACTAACCTATTTAGCAGCAGTAGGAGCACATTTTACGGTCACGTGGTAACTGATGGAGAAGGATCAACCTGGGGATTCTTTTTGCTCAAGTGATAAGACGGCATCGATTTTACACTGAACCGCAAGTCAACAATACAGGAGCTTATTTCTCTCGACGACAATAAAGCTGAAGGGGGCCAAAGAGAGGAGCTGCTGTTCATGCAAACTACTACGAAGGGTGCCAGACCGTGACAGCAGCTGATGTGCTCTGCTGCTGATATTCATGTGAGAAGGAAATGCAGTCCACAGAACATTCTGGTCACTGTTTGCGTATGCTGGAGAGAGGGGAAGGAATGCGCTCTTTGTGTATGGGAGCAATTGGAAAAACTGGGCAATTAAAGGGGGGGGGGGGAATTAAAGACAGTGTACAATTCCACAAGGAGAAAAGGGCCTTATACGGGAGCCAAGCAGATTTCCCCCCCATGGACATTGGGGTACAAAACAAATGAAATGCAATACAAATATCAGTCTGTGCATAACTATATTTCACCTACCTGTGTGTGCACCCAATGAGCAGGAGGATGTGTGGTACGTTTTACTGCTAGTTCCAACTCTCCTTTTTGTTCCAACAGACCAGGACTGGAACATATTGAAAACCCACCAACTACAGCAATGCCAGGTATAAAGAAGTCAACCCTAAAAGAAAACATAGGACTCTTTAGGATGCTCATAAAGGACCTTGTGAAACCTGAACCAGACACTAATTTTCTGCATTTTCCACCTCTAGCTCTAGTTAACCTGATTACATTTTGCATTGTAACTCTGCATCCTGACTCCAAGTGCATCCTGAAAGAGATGGGGTCATGCCCTCTAAGTAACACTATCCAACTTGGCTTGCACTGAATTTTATCCTAGGGCACCACTAATCTCAACCCTTGTTAAGGGGCTGTGGTGGCTGAACTTCAGACCAGAAGGTCGGTAGTTCAGCAGTTCGAGACCTGAGTGCCGCATGAGGAAGTGAGCTCCCGTCTTTGGCCCCAGCTCCTGCCAACCGAGCAGTTCGAAAGCAAGAAATTGCAAGTACCGGTAGATAAATAGGTACTGCTTCAGCGGGAAGGTAACAGCGTTCCGTGTGCTTCGATGTCTAGTCATGCTGGCTACATGACCACAGAAATGTCTTCGGACAGCACTGGCTCTTCAGCTTGGAAACAGAGATGAGCACCGCACCCTAGAGTCGGATGTGACTGACTTTCAAGCAAGGGAACCTTTACCTTTATACTGTAGCTAGATACTGCTGTTCCACTACTGCTGCTTTTGGACTAGTATCATTACCTGCAATCTGCTATTCAGCTTTGTTCAGCAGTTTTGTTTTCATAGATTTCTGACTACGTCAAATATGTTGTTTGATCAGTTCCCGCCAAGCCACTTGTTGGCCACAGCAATAATGCGCTAATGAAGGTATAGTCTGTATAATAGATATCCTGCCTTTCAAGACATTGCATGTAACCAGGCTCTTACAAAGTGGACCTCAGGTGCCTCTTCCAGGTCGAGGACAACAACAAAACAGATGGTTTCCTCCTATTCCTATATTATCATCAGACAACCGTAAGTACCTATTGTACCAGCCTAAATAGAGGCAGTTCTACCAATGGTAACTTAGTACTTATAAAGTTAGGAAGGTACTGAGGTTGCTGCAGATCAAAAATCCATATGCTGCTGCAGGCAAAGATTTGAGCTTATTCCCACTGAAAAGACAGTCAGATCCTCTGCAATGCTACAAGCCTCCAGAGAGCCGAACCTGCCTTCAACTCTCCAAAAATCTCACTCACAAACCATCTTTTAATAGATGATTACGTAAAGCCAGTTTGGTGTAGTGGTTAAGTGTGTGGACTCTAATCTGGGTGAACCGGGTTTGATTCCCCACTCCTCCACTTGCACCTGGCTGGATGACCTTGGGCAAGCCATAGCTCTGATAACATCTGTTCTTGAAAAAGAGCAGTTCAAGAGCTCTCTCAGCCCCACCTACCTCACAGGGTGTCTGTTGTGGGGAGGGGAAGGGAAAGGAGTTTGTAAGCCGCTCTGAGACTCCTTTGGGTAGTGAAGGGCTGAGTATAAATCCAATCTCTTCTCTTCTTCTAAACTTGATTCAATACAGATGACATTTATAACCTGCCCTTCATTCCACAACCAGTTCTCGAAGCTGAATACGTGCGCAGTATGCTACTGGTTTTATTTTACCCAAAAGGGCACACTTTTGCCCCAATAGAACTTCGTTCAGCAGAGCAGCCACACAGAGCCATCTGTTTCTGCATGCCAATCATCACCCTCATGGCTCAGAACAAATGTGAACTCATTTTAAAAGATTCTTTCTTACTCTGCAACTGTTCAGCGTTGCTGCCACCATCACCGAGTTTTTCAAGGAACAGTTATGCATTCTTGAAAAGGTCCTAAGTTCATAAATATGAAGTCTATCCACAAGTCATCGCAGATCAAAAATTAGGGTCCACATAATTGATACTGTATTGCAAGCAGCATTGTAGCACCCTCTAGTGACGAATATTTCAGCATACATCGAGTTACAAATACGCCTGTATGGTTCAGTTGGGGTACAAACTGGGCAAGGACTCTGTCCCCTCTTGTGAGATGGGCTGGTCGTTATACAAAATTAGCATCTCATTAAAGAGCTGCAAGCTGGCCACCACTCGCCTGGGGAAACACAGGCTGCCCTGTTTCCCAGCTACTGCTCCATCCCCGTCTCCTCCCTTACTGCAAACTTTCAAAGCAGCTTTTGAGTAAATTTAGCCATTTACCATTTAAAACCTCACTAATTCTTTCTGGGTTGGGGGTGAAGAAGATTGCCTCTGACACGGCACACTACTGGTTAGGTCACAATCCCATCTCAATCCCTTTCCCACAAAGGCATCTGTGTAGGTGTATATACGTACAACTGGCAAAGAAACAGTATGTCGTGGATCAACCTGAGGCCAGCGTGGCTGAAGACTCCCCAGGAGTTGGGGAGCTGCGTGCCTCCAGATTCACCCCCAGCAGCTGACCCTGAGCCACCCACGCTCAGCTCCGAAGCAGCCAATGAACCACAGCTGCCTGTAAGGAGCTCATCAGACTCACTCCTGCCTGTTGAACGGCAGAGGCAGAGGCTCCGGCAAGGACTAGAGACGCCTAGACAGAGAGTGCTTGGCTCTTTGCTTGGCATCGGCTGTTTGCTGATAACGGCTCTGAGTAACGACAGAAGCACTTCCAAGCAGATGACTGTAAATAGGGCTTGTTAAGAGAGACCTATAAAAATCAGACCAGGAGACCTGCAGAGTGTGGAAGCAACGTGTCACAGTTCTGTGAACCTTGTGGCCACAGCACCGGACTCTGCCTTGCAACCTGCCCCCTTCAGACTGACACCCAACTGTGCTTTTCAGGCCTGCCTGAACTTTGCTGATCAAAGACCTTGGACTGACTTGACTCTGCTTTCCTGGACAACCCATGGACTCTGCCTGCTGCTGAACTGGTATTTGATCTCTGGACTGGACTCTTGGCTGTGATCTGGCACTGCTGCACTCCTCTGCCTACATTCCCAGGACACCGTACATTTTTAAAAGAAAACAAAATGCCTGAGCCCACAACTACAAAAAGTGCTCACATGAGGACTGAATGTATCTAATAAAAACATGTTCTAATAAAAACAAACTGATTGGAAAAGCAGCAAGGTGCACAGCCAGCCTCTGCTATGATGGCACTACACGCAGGCACTACATACAGAGCCAAACAGGTCACAGGAGTTCTGTATTTAATTCTTTGTGAATACTATTGCAAGGTATAATCCTCCAAATTAAATAACAAAGGATTAAAAACTCAATCTGAGCAGCACAACAGACTTCCTAGCAGATTTGCAACATCAGAGCAGCTTGCAATCAGCCAGGGAGGAGAAGGAGAGCCCGATGAAACGTGAGGAGGACAGCAGTGCACAGGAGTGCTGAAGAGAACCTATGGAAACGCCCCCAGGCCACCCGAGTCGCGCTTCAAAGGCCGCGCACCAACCCGTGCATTTGCATACTCACAATGATGAACAGCTACAGATTCTGCTCAGCTTTATTCTGGCAATGCAATAGAGTTAACTGTGAAATAATACCCTAGGAGATGAAACAAGCTCGCTGATACCGGAATGATGCCTCAAACTCAGAGTACGCTCAGGAATCCTCCACTAATTACAGATAGCAGCAGCTTCCAACATATTCCACCCAGAAAGCTATAGATATTGAATATAATTATAGTCATATAAATGCAATTTATATGCATTTATTCATAATTAAACATCAGAAAATGTGCTATATTGAACAGGCTATCAACACAAGTTGAACAGAAGCTTGATTAGGAGAAGGAAAAATGAAAATTCTACATAATATAGGCTAAAACTCCTCTGAAATACCATTAAGAAAGGTTTCCTTCCAAAGTTTCCCACATATACTACTTGAGTATTGAGTACAGGCTTCTCCTACCCAGCACACATATGCATGCAGGCATGCATGCACACGCACGCACACACACACAGAGTCCACTGCATAGCCTTTAAAGCTGAAGCTGTGCACAGAAACCTGCTCCCTGGGACTGCCAAACTGAAAGCTATCCTATGCTTGACTGGGACCTCTACCACCAGTCTACATAACGAAAAGCAAGCTCTCTCTCATGAAAGTCCCTGTTTCACTTTAGTGGAGTTTGACTCTTCTCTTTATATACATGAAACATCTATATATCTAATAGCCAAGTGGCCCCGTCTGTGCGGATATCTAAATCCTCGCTCCGGGGCCACTTGGGGGGCAGGGAGAGGTTTGTGCACACGTTGGGCAGTCCCCACGTGTGCACAAAAATGCTAAATGTTGGAAAAAAATTTGGGGGGATGTTTAACGGAACGCTCTACGAAGGCCGCCGCCGCTTGCGAGGGGAACGGGGAGCGGCGAGCAGGGGGGGGAGGCAGAGCGGCGAGGGCCGAGCGGCACACCGCTCGGCCCTCGCTGCTGGTTCCGCCCGGCCCTCACTGCTGGTTCCCCCCCGCCCCGAAGAGGGCACCGAGCGGCGTGCCCTGCCCCGGCAGAGCTCGCCCGGCCGGACTGCTTTGGAAGGTGTGCCGGGATTGGGGGGGGGAGTAGCGAGGGCCAGTGGGGAAGGGAGAGAGAGCAGCGCCGACTTCCCTACTCCTGCTGCTTCCTCCCCCCCGCGAGTATCGCGGGTCCCCCTCTTGTAACTTCATAATACCAGAATGTGTAAGTTTACAGAAGATGTTCATATTTTCTGTCAGGACACACACATATGAACACATGAAGCTGCATTATACTAAATCAGTCCATCAAGGTCAGTACTGTCTATTCAAACTGAAAATGGCTCTCCAAGGTCTCAGGCAGAAGAAGAAGAGATTGGATTTATACCCCGCCCTTCACTTGGAGTCTCAAAGCGGCTTACAAACTCCTTTCCTTTCCCTTCCCCACAACAGACACCCTGTGAGGTGGGTGGTGCTGAGAGAACTCTGACACAAACTGCTCTTTTTCAAGGACAGCTGTGCCAGAGCTTGTGACTGACCCAAGGTCACATCAGCAGGTGCAAGTGGAGGAGTGGGAAATCAAACCCGGTTCTCCCAGATTAGAGTCCGCACACTTAACCACTACTCCAAACTGGCTCTCCTTCACATCACCTCCTACCTGATCGTCTTAGCTGGAGATGCCAGGGACTGAACCTGGGACCTTCTGCATGCCAAGCAGATGCTCTACCACTGAGCCATACCCCCTCCCCCACATAATATTATGTGACAATACTGACACAATATTAGTAGAACAATGGGAAATAAGAGAACCTATTGAGTTCTGAAGCTGAATAGTGGCAACAATTAAGGCAGTTATTCTAAGGGGGGGGATACGCCATCCCTCCCAGGGGGCATTCTCAGTTTTGGGTAGTCCTTTATCTCCACTTGCAATGGCTTCTGACACAAGCGAAGGAGAATTATTTTATACTGCTAATTTGTAGGCCACTAGGTCCCAGTGCCATGTATATGGGGGGAGTGGGAGTGGATTCAAGGTTAAGAACCACCAAGCTAAAGTTATAGCCTCTCTAATTTGGTGCTTCAGCACAGACATTAGGAAGATTCCCTGCGTGCACCAGAAGCGCCTGTCTCTGCTGACAACCAGTTTTTCTTTGTTCTTTCTCATGCTTCATTAAGATATTCATAGTAGTTGAAAGCGGACCAAAACTCAAGCCCCAACATTCCTGGTACTTCTTTCATTTACTTATATACCATACTTTGACCAAATAGGTTTCTAAGTGGCTTACACTGTAAACTTCTTCACATCATTCCTGACATATTATTATATTATTCTAGGCATATAATCTGGAAAGATCAAAAATAGCAAATGCGAGTCAATAGCAATACAAATAGGCCAATTCTTGAACAAGGTCGCTGAGCGAGTAGAAAGGCTGGCTCCTATGGAGCTCTCCTGTTAATGGTGACATACTCCTCTCATGCCAATGCAAGATTTCTCTAGGATCCAAACCATCATATTTGTCTTGCAATTGACCTCAACATACTACTGCTTAGAAGAGACTCAAACACTCAGGAATCTCAAAGACACTGAAGAGTCTACTAAGCTGCATTTTGCAATGGCTCAACCCCCGTAAGAGGACAGAATTTGAACAAAATCAGCTAGAAGAATCAGCACGTCTTTTGTGCTATGCAAATTCAACAAAGAGACGTGTGCATGTTTTCAACAGAAAGGCAAACCTTGCCACTTCATTATAAAAGTAGGCCTTATTAACCTTTTCCCTCATGGCCCGGTTCTTCGTGCCACTCATTAGAACACAATCACACTTACAAGCTGCACTGTAGAAAGTCAGCATGCCAAACAGAATTAGAATACTTTAAAGAAAGATAATGAAAAGAGTAATTATAATTAAAGATTCCAGTTTTCAGTATGATAATTACCAAAACATTTTGAAGGGTAAATGTTTCTCCCAAGAACCAGCCAGCGCGAATTTAGTATGCATCTGTGCACATGTGCAAAGATTTGCAGCAAATTACTCCACAAACATGAATTATTGCAATCAACATCTTGTTTTCTTGTTCTAAATGTAAAAGACTACAAAATTATCACTGTACTAGTAACTCACGCTATTAACATCCTAGCACATAAACCATGGTTCCTATAGAACCTGTTCACCAGATGGACCCACAATAGAAGGTGGTGGTGGTGGTGGTGGGGAGAACCAGAGAGAAACTGACAGGCCCAGTTTTCAGCCCACCCTCAAAACGGCACCTGAAGAGATCCACTCAATACATCCAGAGTAACAAATTCTAATGTGCAATGTTCAATAATGACGGTTTCACTGGAAGCATTGAGGTCAACAGTAAAGAAGGGATCACAGCTCAGTGGAAGACAGTAAGCATGGCACAAAGGAGGCCCTGGGTTCATGCTCAAGAATTTCAAATTAAAGGATCAGGTAGCAGGAGATGAGGAGGAGTCACGTCACAGAGAAGAGGATTCAACTTGGCAGCCCAATGACTTGACTCAGCATGAGGCAGCTTCATGTGCTCAAACATACTGCAGCCAGAGATCCAAAGTACTACTTCACGTGCTCCCAATGGTCAGACTGTTTCAAAAGACATTTGCCATATAGTACACAGGGCTGCTTGTCTGAGAAACAAAGTCTACCACTTTGCTGGGCATGTGGAAACAGACATGTGGTTCATTGGATCAAGCCCACCAATTTTGTCATATAGCTGAAGGTATCAAATAACTTGCATCATTCACCAAAAACACTACACAGATAATGCAGCATGCCAGGAAACGTATTTGTACATTATTCGTTCCAGATGTTTCATTTAAAGCTGACTAGTGGGGAAAAGTCTTTGTCACTGTGCATTTCATAAGAAGTGTATCATTTGGATTTATTTGTATAAATTTACTGTCACCTAAACAAGATGCTGGAAGATCCATGAATGAATCTCTTGAGCGGTAGTTACTGGTAAAAATAGCAGCAGTGGAGTCCCTGATCTGGATCAAGTCCATTGTGTTAGGAGGTTCAACCCTTTCTTCTATGGCTTTCCCCCCAGCCTTAAGCATCCTCCTGCACCAGTATTTGGTCTGTTAGAGGAAGCATGCAGACATTATTCAGGCAACCTATGTATTTCCCCCAAATAGCAGCTCCAGGGGCCTATTTGAAGACAAAAAAGTGGTGGTAGTGTGTGTGTGTGTGGAGGGGGGAAGGTTAACACTCCCCCACTGCAGTCCTGATTCAAATGGATGGCTATTGACCAATAAAAACCAGGTGAAACTGCTTGGACAATCCATTTCATAGGTCTTGCAGAGTCTCATTTTGCTTGCCTCTTAAGCATATACTTGTAAATTCCTCCTCTTTTTATAAATCCAGAACAGAGCCTTACCATTGCCCTGCCTTGAAAGTAAATTCTTTCTCTGTGACTGCCAGACGGAGCCTTTTAACCATTTCAGATTCACTGGTGATTCCACAGACTTTTGCTTTAGAAATAATCTAAAAGACAAAACAAAAGTTTCTGTATGATCACTGCTCTTTACAAGAAAGGTATGCAAAAGTCAGAAGAGATCAATGAAAGCATGCTTCTAGCAATGGACTGTCAATAGTGGATTGTGATAACTATGATTCTTAATGACATTGTTCAACTACTACCAACAGATAACCTATATTTAAAGTTCTTGATTCCAAAGCATAGAGAACTTCATTTTGCTGATATTCTGTAGCTTAATTACTCTGACTTCAGCACAGTAGAGATCAAGTTTCTTAGATCAAAGAAATTAAGCAAAACAGTTGTGGACAACTAAACCTCTACAGTTATGCTCAGCTTATCGACAAAATACCATTTTAAAAAATGGTAAATCCTCAAAGCACATTCCATTCGTAGCAGAGACGCAGAATGTTCCCATCTGGCTCAACAGAATTGTTTTCTTCCTCCACCCAGGTACAGATAGGGAAATTTGGGAACATCTCTGCCAGTTGCAAAATATCCAAGCTGGGCTTCTGTTTCTGTTCCCATTTTCAGGTACTTAAAGCCTGGATACGGCCAGAGGCACAAGCCAAATGGCTCTTGGCCTATAGCCCCGAGTCACTTGCGCCCAGTGGATCTAGGACCAGCTCAGGAGTTAGTGTTATACATCTTTTTTTAAACCTATATTTTTCTGTCTTTTCTTACAAGCTGTTTTGGGTCCCCATTGGCAAAAGTAGCATATAGATGCTTAAATAATATGAAATAAAGTAACCATATGCATGGATGCATGCATAGGCTATGCACTGGACCACCACAGGGAACTAGTGATCTGTCAGTTTCTCTCATTTCTCTATCCAACCTTCCCACTCTCCTCTATTCAATATACTGGCGTTCCGAATCCAAAGCCCTGAAAGAGAAATGGGGCCCTATTGGGTCCTATAGAAAACCCCCACATGCTGCCCACTGTTTGTACAGTGCAGAAAGGCATCACAATAATATTTTCCATATAGCATCTTTTGATTCCCGACCACTCAAAGTTCCTATGCAGACAGTCTATCAGGATTGCAGTACTTCACTCAGACACGGAATGCAGTACTCCAAATGCAAAGATCTGAAATCTTCTAGTAACTGTAAGGTAAAGGTTTCCCTTGCTCAAAAGCCAGTTGAATCCAATTCTAGGGATGTGGTGCTCATCTCCATTTCCAAGCCGAAGAGCCAGCACTGTCCAAAGACGTTTCTGTGCTCATGTGGCTGGCATGACTACACGCCAAGGCGCACGGGACGCCGTTACCTTCCCACCGAAGTGGTACCTATTTATCGACTCGCAATTTCTTGCTTTCGAACTGCTAGGCTGGCAGCAGCTGGGATCAGAGACGGGAGCTCACTCTGTCATGCGGCACTCGGGTCTCAAACTGCTGAACTACCGACCTTCCGGTCTGCAGTTCAGCATCTTAACCACTTGAGCCACTACAGATTAAATACACATCAGAATATCCAAATGATTGCAGAACAGATAGGCCTCAAATGTCACCCACCCTTATATTTATTGGTGTATGAACAGAGAATCCTGGACATTCCAGAGGGAGTCTCTCCTGCTTTGATAGCCTCCAGTCTGTCCAGCCTCAAAAGTAAAAAATTTAGCTGCTCCAGCTGGGCATTCCCAGCCTGTGCCCAGCTGATCCCCTTACAACGCTCACTGGTGCCCCCCCCCCCAAGCCAAATATTTGCTTTAGATTACAGAGTTTAAATATACTGAAAAGTCAGGTTGAGACAACCACAAGACTCTGTAAATTTAGAGTGCTTTTAAAAATAAAACAACCTCAGAACAATCTCATGTAACTACAGTTATAACGGTGTCCTTTCCCATCCAGAAATACTGGCGTCCAACAAATGAAATTTTAACCAGCAACACTTTAATGTAAAACATATGGCAGGAAATGAATCTCTCTATAAAAATATTTGAATATGTCTACTGTCCAGTAAAACAACAGGATGCTTGCCAACTAAAAGCAAGCATACGTATTCTTAACTTTAGTAGACAGCATTGGTCCAAAACAATGTGCATACTACTTAATTATTCTGCTGCCTTCTGAATACTTGGTACATGTTATCTCTTAATGCAGAAGCCCCAGGGTAGCAAATGAGCACATGCTCCAGCTGTCCTTTCTTCACATTAACCTATGACCTGATCTGTGAACACAGTATTGGCAATTTTTATTAGTTTCTCAATACAAAATTGTTATAATAAACAAGTTTGAGTCAGAACAATCTAAAAAGGTGCAAAAGGGACGGCAGTGTGCTCTGTTTCTCTTTTTATTCCCTTTGGAATTATTCTCCCAGACTTGTAAACAAACCTGATCACCAAACAAATGTCAGAGTGCCTCTATGCTAAACAGACCTTGTAATTAGATTCTCAAGTGCTACGAAAGAGAAGCTGAGGCTAAATTGAACTGCGTTATCACCTTGCATACTGAGAATATAGAGAGTTAAGCTGCTATTTCCTGCTTTCTTGGTAAAGGTATAAATTTTCTGAAGTCAGCAGGGAGAGCTCCCCAGGCCCCATTTTGTTTCTACCTAAAGAGGACACCAAACTCCCGTTCTTCACTTTTGAAAACTCTCCTACATCAAGGAAAAGCAGGATGTGGGCAGAGCTAGGAAACATGCATCACATTTATGAGAAAAAGCCTGAACACTGCTACTATTTCAAGGCAAGTTTCAATTACAAGTGCCTTCACTGCCAAGAATAGTAAATTCTTGTTTACAATGTTTGTTAATCCTCAAAGTACTTGACTAGCAAAATGCCGTTACTAGGGAGGATTTTTTAAAATTAGGCTACCACATATTTTAAATATCTGTATTTGTTGTCGGATAGCAGGGTTTTTTGTGCCAGGTAAGATATTTATTTAGTTAAAACATTTATATGCTGCCTTATCTCCCCAGACTCACAGCAGTTAATCATGTAAAGCAAGTTGTATGGACACCAAACAGTCCATTAACAAGATTAAAAAATGCACAGATAATAGACTTTAAAATGCAGAGAAAAAGAATGCACAGAATTATACACACTTATAAACATGACCACAGCCTTTTACCTGGCTGCTGAGGACTATTCTGTGTTCAGTAATGAGGGAAGAACTAGCTGCTGTGGCAATATTTTCTCTTCAAGCTTCATTTCAAAGTCCTTTGTTTCAAGCCTGAAGGCATTCCATTTTTAACAAACTATTTTGGAACACGCTATCACTAAAAGATGATAAATGGCACAGAATCTCATAGAGAAGTATATACTGGGGCGCAATGTTCCCTCTAAGCTGAGTTAGTGTGAGCTAGCTCACAGTTTTTTAGCCTCCGGCTCACACATTTTTGTCTTAGCTCAGGAAGGATGGCTCCAGTGCAAACTAATTTATGCAGTAACCAAATCGCTCACTCACAACTTTAATGCCAGCAGCTCACAAAGTAGAATTTTTGCTCAGAAGACTCCACAGCTTAGAGGGAACTTTGCTGGGGCGTTTCACAAACCGCAGCTGCCAAAAACAACATGAGCCCCATGCAAAGGTGAGCACTACTTTCTCATGCCCCGGACAACTCAGATCCATCCCATACATCACATGAAAACAAATCACGTGATTTGTGCACAGGCTCATAACAGGTTCTCTCCACGTGCCCTGTACTCCCCTCTGCCACCATTTCTTTTCTCCCACTTATGTCCCATCTTTCTTCCAGTGAGCTCGGGGCTGCACACATGGTGTCCTCCCCATTTTATTCTCCCAGCAATGCTGTGAAGCAGTGTTACCAGGGCTATTCTGGGGTAGGAACGCACAGGAACTGGCCACGCCCAATACAGCCAAACCCTCAGCGTGCGTGGCTACAGAGGGAAGGTCCGGAGAGCGACCCCCCCCCCAGCGACTCTGAGGCGGGCGGGCCAGGGGGAGCCCTGGAAGGATCAGGGAAGCATTTAAATGGTCACGGGGTGCCCGAGCAAGCCAAGGGAAGGCTGTTTAAACTGCCTCCCCTACAAGGGCTGGCTTGTCTGGGCTCCCTGCAGCCGTGGGGTGCCCGGGCAAGCCAAGGGAAGGCATGGGGTGTGGCCTAATATGCTAATGAGTTTCTGCTGTTGGGTGTGGCCTATTATGCTAATGAGTTCCTGCTGGGCTTTTTCTACAAAAAAAAGCCCTGAGTGTTACAATGCCTAGACATAACAACTGACTCAAGGTTACGCTTTCTCCCTTCCCTACAACAGAGACTACTGGATTACAGCCACCCTACTAGCACCTTGCTGAGGTCACTGAGCCCCTGGGGCCTGTGGAATCTTATGCCTCTAGCTGCCCACCCCCCCACCGCTCTGCACAATACAGTTCATTTCAGGCCTCTATGCACCAATACCAACCTCCTGCCGAAAGTCATTTGCTGTTCTCTCCAGATGATCCGACCTTCTTCTGGATTTCATGTTGCTTTAAACACAAAGCACAAGTTAACATTTGCCCTCATCAGAATGCACAATCTGTCTTAAACAGGGGAAGCCATGTGTTATTTATTTATTTACCTTATTAGTCCTCCTTTCTCACTTGGACTCAAGGCAGATTGCATTTAACATTAGTTAGTTTACAAAAGGAGCAATTTTGTTAAGAGGTGGGATAAAATATTTAAAATAAATAATCTAATTGGTTAAATGCAACAACACTAAAACTTTTTGCATTATGTCTGAGTATACAAGTTCTATCGTTCTTTTTACAGTTAGAAAGAAAACTGATACCTACTTTATGGGAACATCTGTCTCAAAGGCTGCTTTCGCACAAGTTGGATATTGCACTTTCAATACAAGTGGGTTTTCCTGTTTTATACAGGAAAATCCATTTGCAAATGATCATAAAGTGCATTATCCAACTTGTGTGAAAGCTGCTTCAGTGTGAAATCCTAAAGTCAATGCTTAGAAATGTGGAACTCTGCTTAGGACTGCACAGGTAAAACAATATGTAGGAGCTGAACACATATATGGCACAAAAACATTTTCAAGAAATTAATAAACCTTACCCATTTACTGTGCAGTAACATAAAACTGCATATTTTGGCCGTAAGAATGATGAACAGCCCGGAATAACACCAGCGGTACCTCTCAGTAATGGAGGAATAGCAAAAATAGCAGCGCAGACCATACTGTTCTTTAGTCTTAATTCCAACTGTAAATGCAGTTATAAAAGTAAATAATTAGATTTGTTGTTCAGTTTCTTCTCTCTCTTAAATCACTAGGGAAGCTTACACAACAATCCCAAACAACCAGATCTGTTCAACTCTAAAACAGACAAATGATTTGACATCCAATCAATTACTTGTTACCTTTATCATAAAAGTATTTACTAGTATGATGGGGGAACACATAAAACTAACCCATTACTGGACAGGTAATGACATCACAGACACTTGCCTTGAGTCAGGCGCTCGCATCATAACCACATCCCCCTTTCTATTTGTGGTTATTCAAGCCAGACACACCTATTCAGGAAACAATACTCTTCTCAGCTGCATATGCAGTCCCTCCACATTCCCAAAGGCTGGTTCTCCCATCACTGAACAAGTTTATTTTATTTCTTTTTGTACCACATCCTCTCCTGTACAGTCTTGGAGAGGTTTACAATAAAACATTCCACAATAAACATCCAAAAAACACATCTAAACATTAAAACAGTACCAGCTATTCAAATATAATAATAGAAGATTCATAAAACATTAATAAGTATAAACAAGCAAATTGCTTTACAGTAGGTTGGCAGAATCCAAGCCACCTGAGAGTGAAGACATGGACATGATGGAGTGGAGGATGGGAGGATACGGGCCAGGAAACGATGTTACGGTGCCAGTCTTGATGCTGGGAGTTTTGGTGCTGGAAAACCTGAGCCCCATCAGACATTCACTGTGTTGTTTCCAGGTGCCATTCTAGCATGGAGAGGCTTTGCCTCATGGGGAGTCTGGTGGGAGCTAAGCACCATCCACTGGTCCCTGTTAAGAGTCCCCAGGCAGGGCTCTACCTGTCAAATCAGCTTCCTACAACTGGTAGGGACAAAAGCAGGCAGGGTGCCTTCACACTCTGCCAAACCCTTGGGTGGGGCTCCATGGGGAGACAGGACACAGTTGTGTGTTCCCACGATGCCACCCTTTAACGTAGCTTGTGCCTGCGTTTTTGCTAAAAAGAGCCGAGTTATCAGGAGCCACTTAGTGAAGCTGTAGTGTAGGGTATGATGGTGTAAGGTACAATCAATCGCCTGATGAATCCTGGAGCCCTACAGTCTCCTTTTCCGGTCCTTGTTTTAAAGTCTTCTATTCCTCAGGCAAATTTGTTGTGAACCACCCCACAGTCAGGATAGATCCAGATGGGCAGCCGTGTTGGTCCGAAGCAGTAGAACAAAGTTTGAGTCCAGGGGCACCTTTAAGACCAACAAAGTTTTATTCAAGGTATGAGCATTCATGTGCATGCACACTTCCTCAGATACCTCTCCATTTCAATGTTTCTTAGGAAGTGTGCATGCACATGAAAGCTCACACCTTGAATAAAACTTTGTTGGTCTTAAAGGTGCCCCTGGACTCAAACTTTGTCCCATAGTCAGGAGCTGATCTGGGGGGGGTGGTATTAGAAAATTTCATCCACTCGCCCAGTCAAGGTTTTAACTTCTAGAGTTCCTGAGAGAGCCAAACTCTGAAGAACAACAAAGAAAGCAACTCATGCTGACAGTATTTTGACATGGCACCTAAAAACTGTAATGGGGAATAGAGAATCTTCATCATGAAGCAGATTGGTATTAATCCAAATTCACAGATGAGGAATCAAGCCTGAAGCACAGTGGCTTCCCCAAGGCCACCTAGCAAGTCTCTGGCAGGTTGTACTGCCGTACCGCTTTGTAGTTCAAGAAAGATTCCAGTTGCGCTTCACAGCAAGTTGTGAACTATTCCTTGAAAGCTCTTCTTCTCTTGGGCCTCCATAATTGTTTTTGTACATCTTCTTGCATGACCATTCCCAAGCCAGGCCCTAACATTCTCCCCAGCTCCACGATGCTGATCACTGGTTCCCCTCCCATGTCACAGTGGGCAGAATGTTGAGACTGGACAGAGTTTAAATCACAACCAGGTCAGGGTGCAACATGTCTGTAAATGGAGCACAGGTTCTATGTAGCAATCACATCTACCAGCCATTGAGAGATCTGCTCTCCATGACTTTATCCATTTCCTGTTTTTCTTGAAAGAAAACTATATATCTAATAGCCAAGGGTCCCCTGTGGATACTTATTTCCACAGATCTGGGGGAACATGGAGGGTAAAGAGGTTTTCCTGCACACTTGGGACTATCTCCAGGAGTGTAGAAAAATCTAAAATGTTTTTTAAAATGTAGGGGGAATACTTAAATCCCCCCAAAAGTAAAACTGTGTTCTGTGCGCATGCGTGCTTACTGAGCTGCAGGAAAAGCAGCTGTCTCTGTCGCTGTCCACTCCACCGCTAGGACTGCCAGGAAAAGCCATTGGAGTCACAAGGTAACCCACGGTGGCAATACCCATCCCAGCTGCTGCTTGGCCTGCCACAGCAAGACCCGTCCATGTCGCCGCAGGAACCGTCCCCAGGACTGCCAGTAAACAGGATGGTAGGGGGACTCCTGGGGCCACCGTTCTTCTCCCCCCCCAGCTGGAGTCCTGCGCCCCATCAGTGGCCGCCGTGGGCTTCTATTCAAAGAAGCAGCAGCACTGGAGGAGTGGCTAAGCTCAGTGGGCAAGCAAACAGAGCACTGAGTGGCCGCTAGGTGGGCTGCCCTGCCAGCTTTTTACCTCACATGCTTCCCCCCCCTTTTTGTTTTAAGCCGCAACTTTGTTAGGTGAAGGAGAGGAGAAAGCAGTTCCAGCAGCAGGAGCAGCGGCCCACAGGAGGAGCGACCAAAGCCAGCCAGCCACCAGCTGCCCCACCTGCCTCAACCATGCCGGAGAGGAACACGTGTCCAGTATTTTTGTTGAAACCATCTGGCAACCCTAACTGTATTATATTTTAGGTTCTAACTTGTATTTCCAGAAATGCTCGTTGGATGATTTTGATTATTTTCATTGTCTGTTTGAAGGTTTAGATAGATAGATATTGTTTATTACACAAGTTGCATGCCATGACAATATAGAGTTTGAAGGTATATTCCTTTAATCTGCCATAACTGGTATTTAGTACAGGTATTTTCAATGGTGTGATTATAAGTCCTTCATTAACACACAGCTGCTTTACTTTTCATGTTTCACTTAGGATCTTGGAAGGAGCCTGCTGTCTGGAGCCAGGCCTGGTCTGCATGCTGGAGGTTTTTTGCAGCTGACTAAATTGTTTTTGTTGACATTATACACACACTATATATATATATATATATATACACACACACACACACACACACACACACACACACACCTGTTTGTTTCTATTTTTCAGGTTAATTATTTCACCTTAATGTACAGGCCAGACTTGGCTTCATATTTACTATGCATTGGTTTGAGCCCTATAAATGTGTACATTTAATTACTGATAAAGACAGTTATCAAAATACGTTTGGACTTTTCTTGTCTCTTTGCTATTTTACGTATTGCATATGCATATAAATTTGGTTGATGTGCCTCACTTTTTAAAGTATTTTAGGATGTTTTTAAATTGTGTTTTAGGATGTTTTTAAATTGTGTTTTAAGACATTTACATCCATATGTATTTGTTTTTCTGTAGTGTTTTGGTTTCAGCTCAGATCTTACCATTTCAAGCAGATTCAGGTGGGTAGCTGTGTTGGTCTGAAGCAGCAGAGCATTGTGAGGGCTCTGACAGGATCCATTCTGAAGGAAATATGCTTATTTTTAAAAGGTGCATCTTTTCTCCCTTTAAATGCTAACAACAAAGCAGAGAGTCCTGCTTTGAAAAGCAAAACCAAGCGCAAGTTGAAGGGTTCAACACCCTGTCCCTTCCCTGCATGGCCAAGAGGCAAACTTAAGGTTGTATCAGTCTGCAAATGGCCTCACAAAGCTGTTGTGAGGGTTGACCAGTGAAGCCAATGCTGCATTTTGCAAACATGAAGTGCTATTCAGTGTTTCTCACACTGAGGTCAGGGGACCCGTGAGTCCATTGTAAGGACAGAGCCCTTCTCATACAACCCAGCTTACGTGAAAACACTGACTCTGTTTTCTGGAAATGGGGACAGAGACTCCCCAGCTCCCTTCACATGGCTAGAGTTCTTAAAGCCACTACCACCCATAATCACCTGGCTTTCAAATTACTACAGAGCATGGGCCAAAAAAAAAGTGTTGCTTAGCTTCCAGCTACTCACAGCTCAGCCCTAAGAATTCTGATTGGTTGAGTGGAACTGGGATGGATGACAACCAGGGGGCAAGAGATACTGTGACTTATGGTGATGGAAGGGGACACTAGCATCTATGTGACTGAGAAAGGTGTTCCTCTCCAGATAGAGAGCATCCTTTAAAACTGACAGGGTGGACAACTAGCCCCTTGATGTGTTAACACCTCTTGATTGCAGGGTCCATGTTCTGGCCAACTTCAACCACAGGCCTGACACCCAGATTGGGTAAGGGCCCTGGAGTACATGTGGGGTACCATCTGGAAAGAGGAGCTGTCCTTTGTCTTGGTTTGTTGGGTTTTGGTGTTTGTTAGAGGAGCTGTCTCTCCTATGTGTTTTGCCATGAAGGATGACAGAGGGGAATGATGCTAAAGATGGTTGCAGATGCATCTTACAAAGACCTGCTGTACCATGGGTTTTAAGTACCTAGTTAGCAACTTTCCTTTTATTTATTTTGCTTAGCGCTCCTAGGTCTGTTCCTGTAAAAACCTTTAGTGCTTTGTAGAAATAAAGTCATTTAATTAAGGAGAATTTGCACACGTCCTTACTCACTTGCCTTCGCATGCTACAGTAATATATCTATGGGTGCTGACCACAGGTGACTCATTAGAGAGGGGAGCTAGATTCTACTCCAGGTGGTGGTGACTGGTGACAGATGAGTGGCTAGTCTGCCCCACTCTACTTTCCAATGCTTTCTGCTGAGAAAGAGACTACTTCATATTGATAAACAACAATAGCCAATAGCAGTTTTCATCTTAACTTCAGGTTTTGTGACATGCTGGTCCTTTTCTATATCTAGAAGCAGTTTTGGATGTTTTTCTGGGCCTCTTCCCACCCATGTTCAGTTGAAGTTTCTTATTGACTTCAGCACAAAATCCCTTAGAACATTAGAACTTGGGTCAAGGCCTTGTTGAGTTGTGGCTCTATAAAAATCAGCTACCCTTTAAGATCTGACCTTGCAACCCCTGTGCAGAAAACAAAAGGCTTACTTTTACTGTGTATTAGTTCACAGCTAAAAAAGACAGACGTCTCCACAAAACATATATGCCTTTGCACACTCACTCTGAAAAGGGTCTGCACAACAGGTTCTGAGGAGGATAAAAGGGGGTCCATACAAAGTTTTAAATCAGCAGGGGGTCCTCAGGTTGATGAAGAGCCCAGTTATAATAACAGGGAAGCCATTGAGGGGGCAGGAAATGGGTCTTTGGTCTCTGCAAAGGAAAGAAAAGGGAGGGTCTATATCTACCAAGCAGCCCTGTATGTGCTTACTAAGAAGTAAGCCCTGATGAATTACAAGCTTCCCCCAACAGGCCTAAGTAAACAGATACAGGATTGAAGCCTTTTGATTAAACATAAGAACATAAGAGATGCCAATGTTGGATCAGGCCAAAGGCCCATCCAGTCCAACACTCTGTGTCACACAGTGGCCAGAAATACCAGTGCCATCAGGAGGTCCACCAGTGGGGGGCCAGGACATTAGAAGCCCTCCCACTGTTGACCCCCCCCCCCAGCACCAAGAAGACAGAGCATCACTTGCCCCAGAGTCCCTATCTATACCTTGTGGCTAATAGCCACTGATGGACCTCTGCTCCATATGCTTATCTAATTCCCTTTTGAAGCCGTCCATGCTTGTAGCCGCCACCACTTCCTGTGGCAGTGAATTCCATGTATTAATCACTCTTTGGGTGAAGAAGTACTTCCTTTTATCCGTTCTAACCCGACCGCTCAGCAATTTCATGGAGTGCCCACAAGTTCTTGTATTGTGAGAAAGGGAGAAAAGTACCTCTTTCTCTACCTGCTCTTTCCCATGCATAATCTTATAAACCTCAATCATGTCACCCCTCAGTTGTCGTTTCTCCAAGCTAAAGAGCCCTAAGCGCTTTAACTTTTCCTCATAGGGAAAGTGTTCCAACCCTTTTATCATACGAGTTGCCCTTTTCTGCACTTTTTCCAAAGCTATAATATCCTTTTTAAGGTGTGGTGACCAGAATTGCACACAGTATTCCAGATGAGGTCGCACCATTGATTTATATAGGGGCATTATGATATTGGCTGATCTGTTTTCAATACCCTTCCTAATAATCCCCAGCATAGCATTGGCCTTCTTTATTGCAGTCACACACTGTCTCGACATTTTCAGTGAGTTATCTACTACAACTCCAAGATCTCTCTCTTGATCAGTCTCTGCCAGTTCAGACCCCATCAACGTGTATTTATATTTAGGATTTTTGGCTCCAATGTGCATCACCTTGCACTTGGCCACATTGAACCCCATTTGCCATGTTGACGCCCACTCGCCCAACTTTGACAGATCCCTTTGGAGTGCCTCACAATCCTCACTGGCTTTCACCACCCTGAACAACTTCATATCATCCGCAAATTTAGCCACTTCATTGCTTACTCCCAACTCCAAATCATTAATGAACAAGTTAAAAAGCAGCGGACCAAGTACTGATCCCTGTGGTACCCCACTGCTTACCACCCTACACTGAGACAATTGCCCATTTATACGCACTCTCTGTTTTTTTATTAATTAGCCAGTTTTTGATCCATAAAAAGACTTGTCCTTTTATCCCATGATTTTTGAGCTTACTTAGGAGCCTTTGATGAGGATCTTTATCAAAAGCTTTCTGGAAGTCAAGGTAAACAATATCTATTGGATCCCCCTTATCCACATGTTTGTTCACCCCCTCAAAGAACATTAACAGGTTAGTGAGACAAGCCACTCACCAAGGAGACCAGATTCAACCACCACCTTATGTTGTTTCTTCCCAGTGGGACTCAAGGCTGCACATATTGTTTTCCCTCGCTCATTTGATCCTAAGAACCCCCCTGCAAGGTAGGTTAGGCTGAGAATGACTGGCCAAGGTCACCCAGTGAGCTTCCACAGCTTAAAGGGGATCTGAACCCACTACCCAGCTCCTACTGAAACGGCACTGGAAGACAGTTTCAGAGGGTAGCCGTTTTGGTCTGTAGTAAAAGAGCTATATTCGAGTCCAGTAAGTACTTTAGAGACTAAGACGATTTTCGGGATATAAGCTCTGAAGAGTCAAACGAAGGGAGGTCTGACTCTCGAAAGCTTTTGTTGGCCTCTAATACGCTACTGGATTCGAATCTAGCCTCGCACTGGAAGAGGCTTCTTCTCCCCCCGAGGGGCGCCTTTCCCCCTGCCGAGGACGAAGGCGGCACTTACTTTCCCCCCGCCGGCTTTCCACACCTCCTCCGTACAAGCCGCCGATGTCAATCACGCGACTTCCTGCCCAGTATCGCCAGGCAAAAACGCCGGCATCTTGTGGGACCTCACGTGACTCCGAAGCCGGGCCTCCCGGCGGCCCACCGACCGTCGGTGTTGGTGCAAGGGGCGCCTGCGCGTTCGGGTCTTTCCCCCCTCCCTCACCTCACGAAAGAGAGGGGGCGGTGGGTGTTTGAGTGACATCTCACTCTTGAACTGGCAGTTCCGACCTCGGATACTACGGGGTTTCCGTACTCAGGTAACTGCCATAGAACGTATCAAAACGATGTCCGCCATAGAGATAAGCGAGGATAGAGCATGGCCATTCCTTGCAGTCTTCAGTTCCTACCCATCGGTAAAACACCGGAAGTTCAAGCGTCCTCGTTCGCTCTCTGGGGGGCGGCGCCTAGATTTTAATTTGTTTTTTTCCTGGCATGTGACGCAGCAACAAAGGTGTATCCGCCCTGGTCCTTTTTCGCTCACAGGTCTCCCCTCACGGTTATCCACGAGAACGCAGCCTCCCTGTCACACTCATAGATACACACACACAACCCGAATCCATGCAACTTGTAGTTCGCTTCAGGCGGAAGATGTCAAAAAAAATGCGCCACGATTTTCTCTGAAAGCTGGTTGGCGCGGTATTCTTGCGTAACCTGTACCCTCAACAAAGATGGTCGATTGGCCCACGTTGACGGGTATGCATGACGTTCTCCGCGCGCACAGGAAAGCTCATACCTTGAGTAAGATTTTGTTGGTCGTAAAAGTGCTACTGGACTCAAACTGGGTTCTGTTATTTCAGACCACCACGGCTGCCCACGTGGATCCGTCTGCTTAATAGCTGGGACTTTCGCGGGGCGAGTGACCCGGCATGTCCGTTTTCCACGACGAAGTGGAGATCGAGGACTTCGAGTACGATGAGGAGAGTGAGACCTACAGTTACCCGTGTCCGTGCGGAGACCGCTTCCTCATCACGCGGGTAAGCCGCCTGGGGGGTTTCCTGGGCCACGTGGCCCCCGAACAGAAACTCCGTGAAGAACAGAGGCCGTTTCCCTTTGGACACGCCGGTCGTGGGAGGGGGCGCTAGAGACAGGGGGCCCGGCCTCCAGCTTATGTCGGTGTCTTTCCCGGAGTAGTACCCGGCTGCCTAGTCTTGTATACTGTAAACTGGGTTTGGTAGGCCTTCGGTCTGATCCAGCAGGGTTTGGGAAGAATGCTTACTTGGGAATTAGTAAAGTGTAACCCGGTGGGATTTAATCTTGTGAAACCGTGCATAGTACGGCACTATGTCCAAGTCATAAGGTACTACTGTGAGCGTGTGGCCCTAGGTCCACCCTCAAGCATGTCTGAGCTCTGCGATTATTCTAAATAAAATATGTGTGTGTGCGTGTGCATTAAGTGCTGTCAAGTTCCTTCTGATTTATGGCGAACCCCATGAATTAGCATTCTCCAAAACGCCCTCCCGTTAACAGCCTTGCTCAAGTCTTGCAAACTGAAGGCGGTGGCTTCCTTGCTTGAGTCAATCCACCTCATGTTGGGTCTTCCTCTTTTCCCGCTGCCTTCAGCTTTTCTTAACGATATTGTCTTTTCTAGTGATGGCTTCGGTTTAGTTATTTTAGCTCCTGGGGAGAGTGCAGGCTTTATTTGGTCTAGAACGCACTTTTTTGTCTTTTTGGCTGTCCACAGTAACCCTAAAATTCTTCTCCAGCACCACACTTCAAATGAATCAGGTTTCTTCCTGTCAGTTTTTTTCTTCATTGTCGAGCTTTCACACCCATCTTGGTCACCAGCAACACATCCCTGCACTCAAGAATATTTTCTGCCCTTCCCAGTCTCAATCTGCTTCTTGGTTGCAGGTCTCCCTTTTGGTTAATGATGGAACCAAGAAATAGAAAATCTTGAACAATTTCCATTTCTTCAGTATCAACCTTGAAGTTGTATAATTCCCCAGTATTCATGACTTTTGTCTTCTTGATGTTCAACTGTAACCCTGTTCTGCCACTTTCTGCTATAACTTTCACCACTAGTCATTTCAAGGCTTCTCTGTTTTCTGCTAGTAATGTGATGTCATCTGCATGTCTCAAATTGTTAGTGTTCCACCAGTTTTCACTCCACCTTCATTTAAATCTAATACAGCTTTCCTTATGATATTTGATATTTTCTGCATATAGATTGAAGAGAGAGGGTGATAAAATACATCCTCTTGTGATCTAAGATTTGGGTCCAGTGTTTGATGAAGAATTAAAATATACTGACACTCCATCATGAACCGCAAAGCACTCTCTGCCCCATCAAGAATAAAGGAGAACTATGTTTGACCTTAGTTTCCCTCTTGTGTCCTCGCAGTTTATACACGGGTAGTCTGGGTTTCACCTGGTCCATCGGGCTGATAATGCTTTTTGTATTATTTCAGGAAGATCTGGAGAATGGTGAAGACGTGGCCACCTGCCCTAGTTGTTCGCTCATAGTGAAAGTAATCTATGACAAGGTGAGGGGTGGACACCTTTTGTAAGCTTGTTTTGTTTGGGGAGGGTGTCTTTTATGTTTGCTCAAACACATTTGTTTTAAGATTAGCTCTGTTAATGCTTGCGGGTCCTTGTGTGTGTGTGTGTATATATATATATATATATATATATACATACACTTTCCCTATGTATGATTTAGTATGCTTGCAAAAACACAATACATCATTCTTCTTGTGGGCCTGGCTTGCTTGTTGTCCAACAGAGAGGTAGAATATTTAGAAAAGAGTTTGAAGTTTGGACATCCAAACCTAAGCCAGTCTGGTTTCCCTTGAAATTCAGTTGTGCTCTGTAGCTTACAGCCCAAACCTATGCTTACCTGGAAGTAAGTCTGACAGAGTTCCTGAGTTCTGAATAAACATGCATAGGATTACAGCCATAATCTCAGGTATTTTAAAATATTTTGGGGGGCACAGGTTGTACTGTTATGAAGGGGAGGAGCTGGGGCTAGGTAAGCAGCAGTTTTTTAAAAAAAGATTTTTGCAGAGTTCCAGTCTTTCTGGAGGTTGTGTCTTCATTAAAATTAACTTGGCATAGTAAATAGATGTAGACATGTTATGTGGGTATATTATCTGTGCCAGTCTCAAATTAACACATGTAATTATTTGAGGAGTAGCATGCTTTCAGTGTAATTTTATTCTATTCTTCTTACAATCCATGTTTTTTTCTTCATTAGTCACACAGGGGGCTGATGGCACCATACTGAAAAACTGAATCCTATCTTCTTCTTTTTTAATTTAGGAACAGTTTATGTGTGGTGAAGAAGTCTCAGCACCTACCGCAAACAAGGAGTTGGTTAAATGTTGATGGTCACCTGGTGAATTGTGCTATCCATCAAAGATGGGGAAGCAGAATCTAAGCAGACGATGTACAATTGTTTCTCATCAGCTGCTTCTGTAGTATATGAGAGAGAGAACTGATTTCAAAACATGGAGTTTGGTTCCTTTAGAAATGATTAATATATTTAAAGACACAGTAATCTTTTTCGCATGCAGTGGAGACAGGCGGAAGTCCAGAGTTGCTGACATTGTCCAAAGTATTTATTCTAAGCCTATTGAATACTTGCCAACAAGCAGTGGATTGCAGACCTTGGATCCTTCCTGATGGTGTTCCGAATGAAACACGAGGTCCTTGTAATGAAGCACAAGAACGCTGGGTTCCGTGTTGCTTGAGTCATTTGGCGAATGATGGGAGAAGTTATCTGAATCATAGGCCCAAATCAAGCTTGTACCAATTTTCTCACTGGTCTTTCATTTTATACAAAGTTTCTTCATGTCAAACTAGTTGTATTTGGACAAATTTGTCAACTAACTTCAGCATTGCCATCCATCTTGGTGGATAAGCAAAGGTCGTAACTACTTGGGTGTTTCCAAACAGCATGCAGCCTGATCTTAAGCATAGTTTCATGTACCTCAGTCAGCTGACTTCAAACTTTCAGATGGATTTGCAGTTTCAGGATACAATTCTGCCAAAGCTTTTCAAGAGGAACATTTGTAGGGGTATTAACCATTTCCATTAATAGCTTTATTTTAGAGAGAATTTGTATGGAAATCCACTACATTTTGTTTTTCTTGGACTCCTTCCTGTCACTTTCCCCCAAACATGTAAAATTATGAGATGTTGTCTCAGTACAATTTAAACATTGTTTATTCAGCATTTCAGTGAATTTTTTCCTTTAATTTGGATTTTAAAATATGAACAAGCATAACCTGGTTCATCATCATCTGTCTTCACTGCCATAACCCATTACTGGAGTTGGACTATTTAAAACCAGGCCAGTTGTTTTAACTTCTGACTGAATATGGCAAAACCCTTTTTGCAAGCCTTCAAGATCAACTTTTTGACCAACAGCTTTTGTTCTTCAGTCTCTTACTGAGATTGCTTTGGGTGACCTATAGGTGGCACTAAAACACTGTATTTATAACAGTTGAAAGAGACTGGTTTTAAAATGTTTAGAAATCTTTAATTTATATTTTAAATAAAAGCTTAAGTGTTTTTTTTCTTGCAGTGGGATATATTCTGACTTCACTGGGATAGGTTTAGCCGGAAACTGGGCATGTGTGTGAAATATTACATGAAGCTGTTTCTCAAGCAATCACATTAGGGCATCTGTTATGGAGTCGTGCAGTACAGTAGCTGTTACCCCTTCCTGTCCTTAGTATCCACTTCCCTGAAATGTCATGACAATGTAATGGCCTGCCAAATCCGGTTAAGCAGAACTCTTGGGTATGCATTTTGATGCTTTGCTGGCTGCGTTGGCAGTAAAGGTGAGGCAAATCTGAGAGGACGATACCTTTCTTCAGCTAAACATATGTTGTGGGCAGTGTTCCCTCTAAGCTGAGTTAGTGTGAGCTAGCTCACAGTTTTTTAGCCTCCGGCTCACACGTTTTTGTCTTAGCTCAGGAAGGAGGGCTCCAGAGCAAACTATTTTATGCAGCAGCCAAATGGCTCACTCACAACTTTAATGCCAGCAGCTCACAAGGTAGAATTTTTGCTCACAAGACTCCACAGCTTAGAGGGAACATTGGTTGTGGGGCTTTTTTACAATTACTTTAATATTAATGTCAGTATAGCAGCTGCTCATTTTTATGAAACCCACATAAGTTAAAAATGTGCTTTTCACTGGAATTGTTGAAAGCCTGGCCTTACACAAACACGAGTATTTACAGGAGTGCTCTTAAGTTTTGTTGCCAAATAATGCCTGGGATAAGGTAACTGATCCCGTAGAAGCCATGTGGTATGAAGATCCTTCCACACACATCACCAAACTATTACTCAGATCATACCACTCCTTTAAAGTGGTTGCATTTGCAGAAATTTACTATGGGGTGTGTAATGATCATGTGTTAGGCTAGACCTGCACAACAAAGCCCATGGCAGATTGTGGTTCTGTGAGCAAATATCAGTTATATGTGTCCCTTAACCACTCTGGGTATAGCTAGAGACCACACAGTCCCAGCCAAAAGTGAGTGCTGAAATGGGAGAATGCCTGTACCAGTGTCTCCATCACTTCTTGAATTCACAGACATTTAATGGAATTGGTGCAACTTTTGCCTACCCTCTCATAGTCCAGCAGCCATGCTGCATGGCACACCTCCACCTGAGATGTGCTTACTATAAGATTCTGGGGGAGTGAAAGCCTGGTGCTGTTGCTTCCAGGCACAGCTATCAGGACCAGTGATGGAGTGGTGAGAACTAGAAACAGCAATAATATCAACAAAAAGGATGTTAAAGGAAAACACAAAGATAAAGAAGGTCATGAGGGCAGATATGTTGGTACAGCAAGAAAAGAGAGGAAATGGAGGGAGGAGACCAAAAGTGTAAACCTGGGGGGGGGGGCAGTAGTTGTGTAAAGAGATGTGGTGCATGAGAATTGAGGACACAGAGAGATCCATGGTGGAGCAGGAAAAGAAGTCTGACGGCATATAGAAAGAAAAGGGTTGCTGAGAGACAAACCTACAGAAAGACCAGGGAGAGGGAAATAATAATAGTTATGGTCTGGGGAAGGGAAGAAAACAGAGTGTAATGGAGTGCAGAGTGGGGAAAGAAGGTGGTTGAGGTGTTCAGAGAACACTGGTGTTGCAAAATCTGCTGAAGTAAAAGCTCTGTAGGAGCCAACCTGTAGTGTCCCTGAATTGTCTGTCTTATTTACAATAGTGTATCCTGCCTTTCTACCCTTAGGTGCCTAAGGGCCACCAAGGTGGCCAGCAATTTAAAATAATACATGATAAAATCACATTTTAAAGCTATTAAAATCAACCCTCCCCCAAACACACATAATTAAAACAATTAAACATGAGTTAAAATACATACAAAACATAAAAACAGCCGTTGAAACATTGTTTAGAAAGGAGGGATTACTGAGGGGATGCCAAATGAAACAAAAAGTCTCAACCCACTGGCGGAAGATGGCAACAGAAGGGCACAAACAAATCTCCCTGAGGAGAGAGTTCCAGAGCTTTGGTGTCATGACCGAGATGGCCCACTTCCTGGTTGCCTCCCGCCAAATCTCAGAAGGTGGGAGCACCTGAAGTAGGGCCTCTGAAGATCATTGTAGTGGTTGGGCAGGTTCATAAGGGAGTAGGCAGTCCTCCAGTTAGTTAGTTAGCCCCACACTGTATAGGGCTTTGAAGGTCAAAACCTTGAATTCTGTCCAGAAACAATCTGGGAGCCAGTGTAGATGGGCCATGGTTGGGGTGATATGGGCCCTGTGACACACTCCAGTCAACATCCTGGCTGCGGCTTTCAATTGAAGTTTCCAAACACTTCTCAAGGGCAGCCTCTGTTCTGAGACCAATGACAGATCTGTAAGGTAAGGGTGGCTGGGGCTATGTTCATTTCAAGTCTATATTTACACACTTAAATGTTTCCTACTTTTTATCCTGCATGGCAGCATTCCCCAAAGTTCTCATATACTTAGCTTTCTGAAGAGAAAGCAGATGGTCTCTAACAGCAAGTAGATTGGGATTCTGTATGAGTCCTTAGACTCTTACAGTGCAATCCTAAGAATACTTTCCTAGGAGTAAGCCCCTTTGAATTGTCCTACTTAGGATTGTTCAGAATCCTAAAACTGGCTGTCCTTTAAAGGGCAGTGGGATTTATGAGCAATTTAGGATTAGGGTAGAATTTAACAAAGTTTATACAGTTAAGAGTGATTTCATACATTATGATTTCTGTACTGAAGTAACAGCCTCCAGTGGCAATTGGTTTGCAGTACTGGCTTAGGAGAGTCAGAAACTGCACAAGATCAAGGCAAACCATTCAATATATGTATGTATTGGCTGTTGAGGCTTTTTCCATTGGCTTCCACATGGGGATCATAATGTTTGGAGCAGCTCTTGGAAAGATTTTAGTATCTCACTCTGTGTGTGTATGTGTGTGTATATATGTATGTGTGTGTGTGTGTGTGTATAGTATAGAGACATGGTTATGGCAAAACTGTTAAATTGCTAAATTTTTGCCTGTTGTGCAATTGTTGAAGGCACAGGAGTTTCAACATACACCCCACCTCCCTGCCCGACCCCCCCCCCATATTATTTCTTGGATAGAAATTGGCCTTTCCAAGGCACCACCAGCCCTAAGGAGGAGGGAGGGAGAGACAGACTCTTTCCCCCCTGACAACTCTTAATAGCTTGGGGAGAGATTATTTCTTTTAAGGAAATGGCACAGGGGCCAAGGGTTAACCCCTCCCCCTTCCTCAGGACTACTGCTTTAATCCAAATACATTTCCCAATGGCTGGTTTTAAATGAATTAAAGATATTGGAAGATCTGATCAGAGTTAAACTCTGAATTTTTCCAAGAGAAGGATTAAGGATTTTTTAAAATGGCAATCAGCCCCATTAATTCGCAACTTGAGAAAATGTTTGGAAAAATACTAAGCATTCTTAGTTCTTCAAAGAAAGAGACCTGTTTTCCATGAAGCTGATAATTCACCAATATGAGCCAGAAAAATTCTGTCAGTGTGTTAGCCAACTGAAAATTCTTCTCAAAGGAGAATTTGACAGCCTGCCAGGTTAAGCCAAATTCTTCATTCATTGGCTGTATCTGCCAGGCCCACACAGACTGTAGAAGGCCACCCAAATGTAGAATTTCCACTCAGGAAGGCCAGATTCCCCCTGCACTCCTTTTTAAGTGTAACAGGACTGTGTCCTTGGTTTCTTTCCACATCAAAAAAGGCATGTGCATACTTTTTCTCATTCATTTTTTAAACTATTCAGTTCTGTCCGCAAAACCTGCAATAATACAGCTTCTATTTGATAAATTGACCAAAGACTATGCTAACTAAAATAACAATATAAATATTTTGCAGGGCCACTTTATCTTGCTGTACAGTAAGTGGGAAAACATGAAATCTGCCACTGTCAACAATATTTCTTTAAATCTGAACGTTTTCTGGGCATGCATTTAAGTTAATTTAGATTTACCTCAGCATCCAACTCCAGATCAAAAATGTTTCATGTTGGGGGGCCATTCTTTTGACCATTATCATACCATATCTCTGAGCTTTAGGGATCCTCCCTTTTTAAGGTCAGTGGCAAACACGAAACAGCAAGAAGAGATTTACTTCCAATAAATGTTTGCAAATTTTTGTGCTCAGTTCTAGTGGAACAGGAAGGGAACTCATGATACAAGAGTCCAATTTAGGGACATCACGACCAGGCTAATAAGAGAAAGCTTCCAACATATTGATTTGAATCTTATACAACCCCACCAGTGTAAAGTACTGAGGTGAGAGTTTTTCCTCTTCTCCCTGCCTCCTCCCCCCACAAGTGACAAAAAGATGATGCTGAGTGTTGGGGGAGCCACATAGGTAAAAAGCACGCCACATGGGTGGCTGCAGCTGAGAGGAAGCCAGCAAAAATCACTCCTGTTGCCTGTTCTGTCCATGGTGCTTCCGCTGCACAAGAGGCTTTGTTGTGTAAGAGGCAGAGGTTGGGTTGCCAGGTCCCCCCAGCCACCGGCAGGAGATGTGTGTGTGTGTGGGAAGTTTGCCAGATCCAGGTTGGAAAACTCCTGGAGATTTGGGGATGGAGCCTGGGGAGGCCAGGGAACTTAATGAGTACAATGCTGTACCAATAAGTCACAGCAAAAGTGTCTTCTCAAAATATATGATGCAGAAAAGGTATTGCACTCAAAGGCTAAAATGTGGCTGGGCCTGCTTTGACTGGTCGTAGGTCTCCACTTGGTATGCTCCTTGTAGGCTGTTGTAAGTTTTATCCTAGCTCTATTCAAAAGCCAGCTTGTTCCAAATCTTAGCAAAAATACAGTGGTTTGGATCAAAGAAGTGTCACAGTATTCTGCACGCACAAGCCTCTCACCCTCCAAAAAACTGTTCCTAAAGGTTGGGAGGACTTTCTGAAATGGCATGGCTCAGAAGGCTGTAGTTGGAAGTTCAGCA